ATAATGAAATAAAATAATTCTAAGTAAAACACAAAAAACAGAAAACAACAACTTAACAAAAATCTTTACCGCCTTTTCTCGAATAAAATGATTGTTTCATTATTGATAATTGTTTTTGGTTATTTACGAGAGGTTATCAAAAAGTTCGTGGACTGAGGCTATAAAATTAGTACTATGTAGTCTGTGCTTTCAAAATTTATATGGAACATAAAACAACAAAAAATAAAAAAAATGTTGAAAATTTTAGCCTGATACGTTCATTATTTGCCAAATTATTATAAAATGAAAACGACATTCTATGATCACCCGGCGCTGTCGTCGTTTATTCTCATGACGTCCTACAACGTCATTGTTTTTCAATGTCCGCTTCTTCTACCTCATGTACACCTTTTTGATGAGAATCCCTGGAGCTGAGTACGGACTTAAACCCGTCTTGTTTATATGACTTTACAATGTCATGAACAGTGGCCTTCAATGAATATAATATTCCAAATGGATTAATACATTGGGAGAGATCCTCGCTTGATTGTGCAGGCATATTTTGCTTTTGGGAGTTCAATATCTACAACACATGATCAACGTCATTTTTTTGACGTGATTGATTTTTCACACCTTGACTGCAAGTTGACATTAACTTAGTATCCTTTTTCTCTCTGAATCTTTTTGACATAAAAATACAAGTACTCGGAATACATATTATTTCTCTGTTGCCAGTTTCAACATATTTTAGGTTTATACCAGTTTTTTCAGGGGCAAACTTTATAGAATGTTGGAAACGGACCCCTCCCCCCTTTTGACGTCATTTTAAGGCCTCCGACATTTGTTTGGTCTTTCCGTGTAAAATTTACGATAAAATTTCATAGAACTTCCAGAATGAAGTGAAAATTTTACATTTTATGAAACAATTGTGTCCAGACACATACCTGAATTAACGGGATTTTTGGATGTCAAATGATCATATCAAACGAGTTTTTCTCAGCTACACTTAAGTCGAAAAAACGTCGTGTTCGAGGTCTTGCCGCCTGGACATACCATTGCTTTCAAAAACATTACTAATTTATTAAAAAATAAAATGTAAGTTTTGCGGTTTATTCTATAAATAGAAAAGATGATGCTAACTAGATATTTTAAAATTCATTGATGTGCCTAAAGCAGTTTTAATTTTATGATGCTAGTCCACGAACTTTTTGATAACCCCTCGTATAGATAATTATTTGTTAATTTGATATAAATGAACACACACCTTCGGATTTTTCTTCAGAAGAGTTCCCTTGGGATGGGGTATCCGCACCTTTGTCAATTAAACATTTGCAAGTATTAAAATTCCATTCAACAGTTATAAAATACTTGTAGCTTGCTTTCGTAAAGGTTATTTCATTCTAATATGATATGATTATTTTGGTTCAATTTCTGTGTGCATGCACTAATACTATGTTTATCAAATATGCAACAACAACAAAAAACAAAACAAAACAAAAACTATCAAATATTTGAAGAATAAACCTTCATTTGATTTCCTTTTTCTTGGTGGCATATTTATCTGTGCACTGAAACAAAGAAAGTTTATTAAAGATCTAGCAGATTTTCTTTTCCTTTTAACCAATTAATGCATTTAAGGTTTATAAACCCTCTACTCAATCATATAAAATGTTGCTTGAACATTAATAATTTTCCAATTGAAATGTATTTTATATTAAGTAAAAAACAAACGATTATGGCATAGCTTGCAGGGCAAAATTGGACAAAAAAAGATACTTCAATTTGGCAAACCTATAAAGAATATTATACAGTTTTGTCATTGAGAGTTATCTCTCTTATCAGAGTATCAATGAACCTTTAGTATACATCTTCGCTAGCCAAGGGTTTTCGGTCCGCAACGCTCCCCATAATGGGGAGCGTTGCGGACCGAAAACCGTTTTTTTCCTCACGAGTAACTTACAATGCTAAGGATGGATTAGAATTTCAAGGTATTTGCACATACTATGAAGGTCATCCTCGCAATGCCAGGGCCGGGTACTAAGTCAACATGCAGGTTGCGGTTGGACCCCTGGCGAATTTCATGCAATATTCCTGGGCGTGCTCCTCTTAATGAGTAGCACCAATCAAAATAAAATTTTCATAAAAAAGTTAGATGATGTAAACAAAAAGGATTCAGTTGACATCTCAAATCATTATAGCATGATATCCAACTACGAATATTGTATACGGAGTAACCGCCTCTCCAGAATCGCGCTCATTTACACCTTCAGAGGAAAAACAATCGAAAACTGTTTGCTACTTTTGTCTTCTACAATAATTTGTCTACACAATCGAATATGATATGCCTATTTTTTTTCTTTTATCTCCGTAAATGTCAGCGTCAAAACTCACCGAGTGGATACCATTAAATGATAGGTGTTTAATATTCACTTCCAATGTATGAATATTGTTGTGAATAAGTAAATTTTGTTTACGTCTCATTTTTTATAAAAACACTACGATATTTTTTCGGTAGACATATTTTAAGCCAATCAAAATCCCTTTTGTACAAGTTTGTCTTTAATTTTACAATGAGAGTAGCGAGTCAAGATAGTACAGATTTGGAAAAAGTTTTAAAAACATGCAAGTATACCGCATGCTCTACCGGTACACTTAAAAACAAAACGAAAGTAAAAAGAGAAAAAAAGCACACCTAGCTACATGTATAGTAATTTATAAACCAAAGAACCTGCATAAAGTATCATAGATTAACGTGAATGACATTGAAAACAATAAAAAGAATTCAATTAGCTGAAAGAATTTAATTAAACTAAACTACGATTTAATACTTACCTGGACGTATTTATGATCCTAGACATAGATAAAAAAAATCCCGCCAATTTCAAGCTCTACTACGCCGCGGTATTTCATTGGATGAAAAAATTTCTATATTAATTAACGACAACTCTTGATATATTTAAGAGAAGAAACACAAGCAAAGACATTTTTTAAAAACGCGGATGATTAAATATTATAAGAACTACACTATATTCTCAAGAATTCGTTCAATCCTATTTTATGATTTTTTATAAATATTCCTATTGTTCTATTATTAGTTGTTGTTTTTTTTTCATTAATTTCTTCTAAAAAAATCTTATAAATACACTTACAAGTATAGATCGATCTCTCTCTCTCTCTTTAATTAAGAATTGACTGCAAAGCATTTCAGGCACGGTTTACCATGCGTTACCAATTCGACGTATTATTATTTTTGTATATAAACCATTGAAACAATTTTAAAAATTATTCAATTCATTTATTAAAATACCATAATATTAATATATATAAACAACAGGATTACGCATTGCTGCATATAATGATAGAAAGGAAAGGGGTTGTAATGACAATATTACTTTTTTTTTCAATGCAAACGGAATGAGCACCATAGATTATTACTGACGGACATAAATAAAGAAAATGGGCGCATTTGGCGTGTGATCTGCAGTTCTACTCTAAATCCATTCATTACTTTCAAATGAAAGTACAATAAACAACAAACACACCATTTGGACATAGCAACGACACGCAGTAGCTTTATTTTTGCAGTGTACATAACATATGCAAAATATGAAAATCAATTTGTATATACAAGTTTATGTTGGATTGAATAAATCATGATAAAATTTTAAACTTTATCGTGCTCTACGTGTCGTCCTAAACTGGTATTTAAACCACTATTCACCTCTTATATAGCCTTGCTAACGAGACCGGTTCTAAAGAACCACGTGATATACACCAGGTATTCGAATGAAAACCTTGTAATTCCGAAAAAGTAATTTATTATCACACTGATTAGAAATTGATTTCTGTCTAATTCGTTCCTCAAACGAAAGAAATCATATGTCTACTCTAAATCCATTCATGACTTTCAAATGAAAGTACAATAAACAACAAACACACCATTTGGACATAGCAACGACACGCAGTAGCTCTAAATACAAAGAACGGGAAAATGAAAGTATAAAATCATTGATTTTAAATTCAATCCAACAAAATTCATATAAATCATAAGTCATTCAATATTTCAAACAATATATACATCAAATTTTACAGAAATTTTCCAATAAAATGTTTTGAAAACAATTAAATAATCACCAAAAAAATACATGTATTCACTCCATTACTTTTATACAAACAAACAACAACATTCTATGCATGACAGCCAGCGGTGCGTGCGCTGGACGCTGTATTTTATAAACAGTACATCAATATACATATATAGAACACAGGACATTGTGTATGAATCCCCCAAAACTGCTGCATCTATTATAATTCTAAAATATTCTTTGTGATAAACATGAAAAGCATCAGGGCCGGCCAGGAAAAACTAGAGATAAAAATAATTTTTAAAAAACTCTAGAAACCTGTGTCCGTTGCCAAGTGCCGCTGGATGCAAAAAATGTTGCGACGGACCTCACAACCTACCAATAAAACCCTAAAAAAAATCAAATATATGTATATAAATTTCTTCACTTATACCCTTTATACATAAATTTAAAAAATTTAGCTGTAGCTCGCTTAAGTCGGCGGCTAGAAGTGACCAACCTTAAAAAAAAAACAGTTCTCTACTACACCTCAAAATCAATTTCTATTGGTCACTCTCTGACCAATCCACACAACATGCGTATAAATATCTTGTCATTAATACAACATTTTCTCACTATACTAGCGAAACGCGGGAAAATATCAATACATGTATATCCATCCTAAAAAATAAAAATACACCGCCGTCTTTTGAAAATCCATAACGCAATTCACCATGTGAGTCTGATTGTAAAAGTCTTGATGTTATGCACACATCCTATCCATACATCGATAAATGCTTGCTGCACTTGAATTTTGAGTATAGTTTCAAGTGAAACTCAACGCATACCATACGATTTATCGTGAAGTCCCAGGGAAGAAGACTTCAAATATATCAAATCAAATCGACACAGTTATACATAGAAGTATATTCATCATCCAAAATCAAAATAGCACAAAATACACATTCCTGTGAAACATCTTGAATCCCATCTCAATTCCTTGGATATGTGCCTCTTTGAAACTCTGTCATTATTGGTACACCGATTAATACCTCATGGTGCTTGAATTAAACGTAAGAAGAATATAACCAATAATACCTGGAAGAACAAATTTGATGTTAGAAAACTGATAGATACATATATCTTGTAACTGATATTTTAGTAAATATGTATAGGATCTCTTTTTCTCTCTCTCTTAATCTATATAAAAAATCAAAGTCATCATCATTGTGGCTAGCAAAACATGCATACTATCATTAAATGATAAAATGAATCAAAATTCCACCATTAAGTTCAAAATTTATGAATTGCACTAATCATTTTTTTTTTTTTTTCTAATTAAGAAAAACATGAATGTGTTTGTATAAACATCCATTTGATAATCAAGTTATGATAACCTTATTTTCATCAGAATAATCAACATTTACTTTACTATTTGTAGAAATACTTCCTACTGAAAACAATCTCACCAAATGGCATCAAAACAAATGTGGTTGGATAAACATCCATAAAATCATTTTATGATATAATTTATCAAAAGTTCAAATTCCAATAAAATTTTACTTTATTTTCATCAGAATTATCAACCTTTACTTTTACTACTTATGTAGAAATACATTCTACACAAACAAATCTCGCCAAATGGCATTACCACAAATGTGGTTGGATACAATTCCATACATTCATTTTATGATATAATTTATCAAAAGTTCAAATTCAAATCAAAATTTACTTTATTTTCATCAAAATTATCAACCTTTACTTTTACTACTTCTGTAGAAATACATTCTACACAAACAAATCTCGCCAAATGGCATTACCACAAATGTGGTTGGATACAAATCCATACATTCATTTTATGATATAATTTATCAAAAAGTTTAAATTCCAATTAAATTTCACTTTATTTTCATCAGAATTATCAACTTTTACTGTACTTTATATGTAGAAATACTTTCTACTTTAACCAACTCGCACTTTTACTGTACTTTATATGTAGAAATACTTTCTACTTTAACCAACTCGCCAAATGGCATCACCACAATACGGTTCAAAAAACATCCATAAATTCATACTATGTGAAAAATTTATCAAATACTTCAAGTTCGAATCAAATTTTTCTTTGATTTCATGAAAATTATAAACTTTTACTTTAATATATACCAAAAAACACTTTCTACAGAAACCAGTCTTACTAAATGACTTCATCACATATGTGGTTGGACAAACATCCATAAATTCAAACTCGTATGATAAAGAACCCACTTTCTACTTTAACCAACTCGCCAAATGGCAACACCACAAATGTAGTTGGATAAACATCTATAATATATTATCATATTATGATAAAATGTGCAAAGCATTCGAATCCAATCAATTTCTATTTCATAGTATCAGCAGTATAATGAAAACAATCTTTAATAGATTGCCAAATGACAATACCATATACATGGTTGGAAAACATTCATAAAAGCATGATATGCTAAATTGTGCCAAAGTTATTCAAATTCAAACCCAACTCAATATTATTTCAAACAGAAATATTAATTTTCATTAGACTATTTTGTACTTCTCATTGTCTACTGGAATCAATCCCGCCAAAAACCAAACACGCTAGATGCGTTATGATTAACATCCATAAAATATTTTATGCTAAGCTAGGTTAGAGTTGGAATTCCCTTCAAATTCTATTTTTGTTTTAAATTAAAAAATAACAGCTTTTAAATAGCTACAGTATTATAAAAATCGCTTTCCAGTGAAAACTAAATTCAATAAAAGTAAATACTCCAAAAATTGTTGCCAATTAATAAACATTCCTTATATCATTTCATTATAAAGTGAAATATATCAACGTTATCAAAATTCAAATCTTCCAAACACTACCAAACACGAATATTGTGCAAAACAGCCCATGAAATTAATATTCAGAAAAGATTTAATTCAATTTTAGTGAATCATTTTTAAAATTAGAATTCATTGACAAAATTTCCTTTTTACTCGAAATCATACCGACAAAACTCAGTTTCTGTTATCAAAACTTTTTAGAATTGAAACTAAATACTTAGATCTCTTTTTCTAGAAAACTCAATCAAGCCAATTAAAAACACTGCAAATACTGCAGAATTATCATTCCTATAAATATTTTATACCATCTTAATCTTCTTCTTCTTCTTTTTTTTTTTTTTTTAAAATTAATACTCAATTGATAAATTTCAATTTTAAGTAGATAATTCAAATGAGACCTTAGTTTAACTACAATGTAAATCAAAATGCAAATATTCTAAACCTTTAATTCTCTTTCACAAAGCCGTACATGTCCAGCATTAATCATAAGACAAGTAAAACTCGTTTTCTTCTATAAAATTTATATGTCATTAATACATATACTTGGTTAATAGATACCAAACAAAAATTATCTATGCCCCATACTCTACTATAAGGATTCATGATTGAATGATCTACTAAAATAAATCGAAAAACGAATTTTTATACTCACAAATCAGAATATGAAATGCTTCTCTTTTCCATTGTGATGGAGTCCGCATGAAATTTAACTTTTAATTTGCAAAAAACGCAAAGAAAAAATCTACCGTACTTCTCTGGAGATCTTAAAATCACCTTCTTCATTATACTCATCGTGATACCAACCCCAACATGTAACTACCTGAAACATAAGAATATACTCTTTTCTCTTCAACATATCTAAAACTTTTCATTTTAGTAGCACATTTGACAAAATGGCAAGCAACTGAAATTGAAAAATTCAAACAATTTTAATTGATCGATATTTTCTATACTCAGGAAATACCCTTGATATAATGCTGATGCATTTATTACGTTTTAAAATGATAAACAAATATATTTAATTGGATATAAGTGCAAATATAATATCTTATAAATTCTACACTTGTTTTAATTGAAAAATAAATTAACGTAACGTATTTGTTTTGCTTTTCAGAAACGCCAGTTTTCTTCCTTTAACAAATCTATCTTTATACAAAACAAATTATCTATTTCTGGAAATAACTTCTATTATCATATACTGACTAGAATTAACGAATCTCATCATCTAATACAATCATGTATTTGTTTTCAAATTCTCTCTATTACAAACCTTGTTATTACTTATTTACATGTATTACTTATTCAAAAACTGATCAATTGTATTCTCAAATGAATACTTATCTTATAAAAACAAGATCTAGGATGGCTTTTCTTTGATGACCTCGCTTTCCACACTGTCAAATCTCTCTCCAACTCTATTTTCTGTGATTTCATATCATCTACAATGGCTAAACATGTCGATGAACCACGCCCTACGCCACTTCGTTCTGTATCTGAGATTTAAACTTTATCGTGCTCTACGTGTCGTCCTAAACTGGTATTTAAACCACTATTCACCTCTTATATAGCCTTGCTAACGAGACCGGTTCTAAAGAACCACGTGATATACACCAGGTATTCGAATGAAAACCTTGTAATTCCGAAAAAGTAATTTATTATCACACCGAGTAGAAATTGATTTCTGTCTATTTCGTTCCTCAAACGAAAGAAATCATATGAATCATTTGTACGAAACTTTTATGGTTTAAATGTCCAAGATTTGGTTGGCTGAACATAGCTGGTCATGCAGATTTGACAAACACGTCCATAGTTGTTTTTTTTTTCATTTAGTTTGAAAGACCTTGTGAGATTGTAATATTAATGTCCGTTAATGCTAGGGGGTACTATAACATAGTAATGTTTCACAAAAAGTAAACACCGGAAATATATTTAATGATTAGATGCACGATACGCGTGCATGTACATTCTAGAATAGAAGATTTGAATTAATTTCGCTCGGAAACCAAAATTTATCTAGTTCAAAATTTTAATACATCTGTACAAAAAAATGAAACTGAAACCCCATGCCAGGCTCGAACCAAAAAGATTTCGCTTCGAGCGCACTGACCAGGTAGCCCTACTTACTGAGCTATCACCGCTACATATATACTGATGATATATCGGATTTGATCAGAAATGGATCCCACTATATGGCATTGTGGCAACGCACTTTGAAAAAATTACGCACTTTGAACAATTTTTTCAAAGTGCGTTAAAATTGGAACAAAATCAACGCACTTTGAAAAAAAAATTTTTAAGTGCGTTAAATTTGGGACCAACTCAACGCACTTTGAAAAAATTTTTCAAAGTGCGTTATGAGTCTACATCAATATATATTACCATGGAAACACTTAACGCACTTTGAAAAAAATCATACTTTAGTCATGGAAAGATTTTATTTGTTTTTTATCTTTCAAAAAACTAAGCTTAACCCTAACCTAAATCAAAGTACTCAGAAGTACTGAAAGCCGGGCTCATTTACAGGGTAATGAACAAGGGCCGTGGTAACAGTTTAAAATCAAGATCAGACGTTTAGAGGATATGTTGCACACAAAAACATCTCAATGGCACGTATAGTATTAAAAAGTTTTAAAAATTAAATAAAATAAAACTAGAAATTAACAGCATAAAATATTTATCACATGCATCGTTTTGGGGTTTTATATACAAACAGAAATAAATAAAAACCGATGCAGCAAGATTAATTAAGGTCAAACGACTCTGCACTGATGTGTCCTCAGCGGGGAGTTTTGCATCAAGTCATTATATTGACATTAATGATGTTCCCTGCATTTGTGTTAGCCTGATAGTACAACCTTTATTTATAGAATATGACGCAGACAGGGATACCTGGTGAAAACCTTTCGCACCCTTTGAATTGCTTTGTAAAATATTAGTCAAAGGAGCCAGGAGAAATATTAAACAATTTAATATTTTGATAAAAATATTCGATTTACTATTTCTTAATGTGTTTGAATGGATTTTGTTTTCTCAACAGCGGCTGGGCGTACGTACTATATTTTTATTCGTAAACTCAATTTGGCGGTGAAGAAGCAGCATTTCTTGTTGCTCACCGTCGCAATAGCCGGGCATTGCTCTACGAGCAATGAGCCCGGCTAAAAATGAATTGATTTACTCCCGTCGAAAAGAGGAGAAGACGGGTATAGGATCCCTCAGTTCAAATCTTTATCTTTCCAATACATAGGTGTCGGTAACAAACGGGAGAGGGGAGCAATAAACCTAAAAAGGGTACGCTACATTTTCAATGCTTATACGATGTATATATCTTTCCAAAATAAGTGGGGGGCTTAGCCCCCATCCCCTCCCCTGGCTCTGTGCCCAGTCTCGATGTCTATGCTATACTCAAAGCATTCATATAATTATGTATTTACCTAACTGGTATGACGTTGAAAACTTTCAATAATAAATGAGTTTATTAAAACAGATGAAAACTAGAAAATTTTAAGTACAGTAAAACGTATAAGAGGGAAAGAATTTTCATAGTTTTGAACAATCAAATTGGCCCCTTTCTATTGTGATAAATGCTAAGTTGCTTGAAGCTGTCCTCTGTTAGTGCCCCCTATACACCTTTACATCTACTTATCAAAGACTAGAATTTAAAATAAAGTGCCGCGCCACAGCATGATACGCCCGTCAAAAAATTACAATTTTCTTGAACAGTTTAGGTGCAAGAAAATCACATCAACCTTGATTTTTCCATTCCTTAAAATATTTATCCATCCCCTGTGATGTAGGCATCAATTATTATAATAAATATTACATCACTGATAGATTTCTGTGCTGGTTGTGTTAGACCTTGTCAAATGCCCATCATCAAATTAGTCTTAACAACTTAATCTATACCAAATTAATTTTGAAAAGGAAAGGCTGTCCATCAAATGACATGTTATAAACTGACCAGCAGTTCTGTCTAATCCCAAAAGGGTACAGATAAGACTGCTTAATCAGAGCGACTGAGACAGCTAGCCTTCCAACATTGAACTCATTAATTAATCTTTAACTGGATGCTTGTCTACTCATTACTACCAAGAGATGAATGGGTCTGCACTATCTACTATAATTTTTTTTAAAAACATATAAAATACTCAAAGATTTTTTTTTTGGTTGAGATTTAATGTCCGACAGGTTTTTAATATGTAATTCATATGGACATGCTGATTCCACCCCATAAAATAAAATTAGTTTTTAAATTAATAATATTACATAATATCAGATTAGTCTATTGTGCAATATCAAATTAGTTTTAATTACTTTTCATCAAATTCATTTTAAAACTTAAGCCAGTCAACAAGAGCTATTTTTAATCAAAAAGGCTTACCCATGCATTGCCCAATACTCAAGGGATATAGATAACACCAATGCTCTGTCAGTTAGCTCCTCGCACTCAAAACCCATTAATTTCTCTCTAATTTGACATGCAATTTTCTGTTATCAAAATTCTTCTTGACCAGTGCTTGATAATTACACTCATGGGAGAGGTAGGATTTCTCTAACATACATTATATTTGTTATAGATTGCTGTCAAGTATATGCTAAAAAAAAAAAAGTATTTTCTTAATTTAACACTTTTTTAATAAGGACAGTGCAATGCTCTTACATTATTTGGGATGTGTAAATGAATAGTAAAAAGACACATTTTTTTTAAAATTCACTTAAAGGTCACAGTGACCTTAAAATAGGTCGCGACACACCTTCTACCTAAGATGCATTAACTGGCCAAGTTTGGTGATTGTAGGTCTTATGGTTTTCTAGTTATGGGCCGGAAAGGATTTTTCCATATTTGGCTATAACTTCATAATTAAAGGTCAGAGCGACCTACTTTTTGTGCGCGACACACCTTCTACCCAAGATGCATCAGATGACAAAGTTTGATAATCCTAGGCCTAGTAGTATTAAAGTTATGAGCCGGAAACGGAAAAGCTAACAGACGGACAGATAGACAGACGGACGGACATGAAGCCTATAACATAATACGTCCCGTCTTAAGACGGGCGTATAAAAAAAGAAGAAACGAATTAATGAACTTAATCAATCGTCACTTTTTTTTTAAGACCCTTCAATTTTCCCTTTTATTTTATCAAAACCTTAAATATTAAAACGTCAATATCTCAGGTCCTACAGTGACTTTATCATAAAAAATTATCAAACCAGGATCTGTTATTTATCATACCGATTATTTGAGGAATATTGATCAATCTACGTTTTTTCCAAAGTGCGTTAATATGGTCGATATTAACGCACTTTGAAAAAAAAATATTTTTTTCAAAGTGCGTTAGCTTGGTCCCAGATTTTAACGCACTTAGAAAAAATTTTTCAAAGTGCGTTGTAACATGGAATACCTCAGAAAAGATTGTGATACAATTTTAAGCATCTGCGACGAGTAGTTGCTGAGAAAACTAAGACGAAAATTTGTTATGCCTGAAACGGACAGACGCACGGACGAACAGGAAGTTGACATCAGATTTGAACAAAAATGAATTCAATCATATGGTATGCCTCAGAGAAGATAGTTTCAAAATTTCAAGCATCTGCGATGAGTAGTTGCTGAGAAAACTTCGACAAAAGCTTGTTACAGACAGCTGGACGAACGGACAGACAAACAAGGGTATAACAGTATTCCTCCTCTTCTTCGGAGCGGGGGTATAATAAAAGTATAATTACTGAAAATATCCAAAAGTCAAATGGATCTAGGATTTTGTGTACATCAGTCAAATGGAAAGAAGGTTCTGAACTTGAAGATATTAGTCCAATAAGAGAAGACCAGGATATTTTTCTGTCATATACGTCCATGAATCATGTAATACACAGGAGAAGATAGATAATTCTGTGGAGAATTTTATTAAGACATTGTGGGATGTTATGACCCCCTTTTAGGGTTATGAAGTTGCGAAATTAAACAGATAAATGTGTAAATTTTACAACGATATTCTGTCTGCAAGTCTAAATATCCAGACTACAAAGAAAGTTTCGTAATCTCAAAGAAAGCATTATTTTAGATATAACATACAATAAATTGTGTGATGTTTTTAAGCAGAAAGCTATATCTGGTACATGTAAATCACCAAAATGCGTTAAATATTAAGCATTTAATTGATTATTTTTGTTTGCAAAGTTATTTAAAGAAACCTACTCATGTAAAGTACAGAAAAGCAATCTCATGTTTTAGACATTCAGCACATATTTTAAAGGTAGAAACAGGTAGAAATGTGGGGAAGCTGTAAACCCTTTATCCATAGACAAATTGTGATCAAATTATAGGATAATGGAAAAGGGAGCGAAAATATACTGCTGACTCGAAACATTAGACAAGCAGATCAACTTTAGGTGCCTATAGACTAGGACACTTGTCTAATCTGCACATCAATTGTTCCATAGAAAACTGAACAGACTGGACATCATTTCATTTACATTAATTTAATGAAACGAACTAAAAATTTACACATGATAAGCACAATTGTAAAATCTAAATAAATGGAATAATAAACATTCCGATAAGGCGACTTTTTCTGTGCTTTTATAAACATAAAAGCCATAGTAATGCATTAAACTCGATACATGTATATATATTATATGCTGAATTAAAACCTATCTAAAAGGGCCAGTCCAAAGACTATTTCTACTTACCTAGGTATTTAAACCTACCCAAAGAAGCTATTTTTGCCTACTTTTTGCTTTACTTACATTTTGCAGCCAAACGCAGACACTATGGTAAGTTTGACAAAAAATGATTACTTTGTTACTTAACAATTTTGCATAGTTGTTTATGCAAAATTGACAATTTACAAAGTAATCATATTTTGGCCAAAATTTTATCATATTCATCATAAGTGTTACTGGATAACGAAACTCTTTGGTGCTCAACATATCGTGCTGTCCCTGCACTTAGCTACAAAATGTAAGTAAATCAAAAAGTTGGTAAAAATGCTACTTTTGGTAGGCCTACTTACCTACATAGCTATAATTACTTTGGTAGAAATAGGCTTTGTACTGGACCTGTCTAAGAAAAACCTAAAATAGTTGAAAATAAAAATGAAAATTCAAAAGGCATCATATGTCACAATATGCACCTGAGTTATCTTTTTTAAGTTTTAATGATCATGGTGATACCAGAGTACTTTTATAAATATTCACTTACACATAATTTACACATGACACTCCATTTAAACAACATTGATCTAACTCAACCAAGGACATGGTTGAAATTTGCCTTTTGGTTCTGAGGCAGTAAAAAAAGACAATAAACTACAGATCAAACTTCAATAAGAAAAAGTTCATGTAACGTTTTGCTTTGTTGAACAACTTTTCATAATTTGTTTTCCTCTGTGGTATATTATACAGAAGTTGCAATATAGAGATTCAAGAAATTGAACACTATTGGGTACACTAACACTGTCAGGTAAAATTTTACATGACAGTTCTAAATGTTTCATAAAAAATATCCAATGAAAGACTTATAATTTTAAATTAACACTACTTTAACTCAGTATTATTTGTATAAAATCTTATCTAAAAAACAAAGTTTGAACTTCTTAAATTATATACAAATATCAGAATAAAATTGCAAAATATTGAATAGTTTGAGTACAATCTCATTAAAGAAAAATATATTATGTAAAAATTAAATGGTTTTAATATGGCAAAAAATATATTTATGAAACTGGAACTAAATGTATGTTTAAAAGCAGAAATTAGTGAGCAATAACTGCAATCATGAAATTACAATGGATGTACAAAAAAAACACAAAAAAACATAGGTAATCAGAGACAACAGAGTTCACTTCAATGAATGATGTCTTTAAGTAAGGCAAATTCCCACATTGGACTATTAATCTAGAAATGTATATCCTAAGATACAATATTATATAGTTTTGATCTGATAAGGCTTGCAGTTACTCTATCTGATTAAAATCAGTACACAGAATGTAGAGATCAATGTGAGCTGATCAAAGGTTCTGATTTTAATCAGATTGGCAGTGACTAACCTGGGAATGAACTTATCCAAAAACTTCATACTAGTCACTCATTCAGAAAACGTCATTCAAATACAGCATCTTGAACAAGTTTCAGAGTGCTTTTCCCTTGATGCATCTTCCATGCAAGTTTGGTTCAGATACATGTAGGCCTTACATTTTCTTGGTAATTGACCTGCACCATAAACTAGCCTAATCATTCACCTGGAAAATATAGGTCAAATCCAACATTCAAAGCAAGTCAAATAATGTGCAACCTTAGATATATCATCAATGCAAGCTTGATCAACATAGGGTTTATAATTCCCTTAGAAATGAACCAGCTCCAAAACTTAAAACTGGTCAATCATCTGGAAATTTAGGTCAAATCCAGCATCACAAGCAAGTCTGCTAGCATGCATCCTTAGATGTATTATCCATGCAAGTCTGGTCAACATAAGGCTTATACTTACTTATATGAGGCCTGCTAAAAAAAAACTTTAACCTGCTCTAAAAACATTAATATGGTCATTCCTTAGCTGCAACTGCAGCAGCTGAAACCTTGACTGGTTCAATGATATACACTAGAAGCATCTTGGTTGCATCTCTGATTCAAGTAGGGCATAGAAATACTCAAAAAGAAACCTACATCAAAAACTGAATTTTGGGACGCCAATGTGGAGGGTATCACAAAAGCAGAGCTGAAAACATTTTAAAACAAAAAATCGTAAGAATACGCCAGAGGCCATTTAAGATCCCGAAGTCGCTGGATATTTTTCCATTTTGTTTTTTTTAAAATATCTGATATCAAAAGAAAGCATAGATAATAAAAGATTGATAAAACAAGTACGCACTATAAGTAATACAACTTTCTTACTGAAGTGAATACTGAAGACAGCCAAGTAATACTCTAGGGAAATAAACATTACTTGTATGACATCTCACATACTGTTTTTCAAATAAATGCTAACATGTCACATTTCATTATCATTTTTTGAAAATTTGAATCCATACATAACTTAAATATCAAACACTCGATAGACTCCAAGCAATCATATACATGTACACTCGATATTTTCAGAATCATTACTGTCAAATTATGCTTCTCTATGTAAATGCTGCCTTCATTTTTAATTTTAACCTGAGTCGAGATTCATTATGGAACATTTCACATTTATCATGTTTATATCAATAATACCTAAAATGTTTTTAAATATTTTCTTATAGTCTGCTCTAGATTTCCTAGCTGAAAACTATTAAATTCCTTGTATACACTGTAGAAACGATCTTTATTGTCCAACTCTTCTAATTCCTTCACAGACCTCACTGTTTTGTTAAGCTTGTGTGCAAATCGAACACCCACATCCAGCTTTTTTGAAGAGACCTCCAGGCAGTACACAAGAATAACTAAAGCTGGAAAAGAAATAAAGACATTGGAAAAGTTATACCAGATAAGGCATGCAGATATGAACAAAAAAATATCACCCCTCTAATGTAAGCTTTCTTTCATTATGCTGAATTCTGCACAGTGTTCAGTGTTGGAGTTGGGAGAACACATTTCAACTTGATTGTCAGAATCTTTGGCATTTTTATTAGTTTTAGACGCTTATGTTTCTCTGCAGGCAAATGCATTAACTATAATGCCAGTAGCAAATATATAACAGACACCTCTTGGACTTATAAACATCTCTATCAATACTTCGAAGAAGCTGACATGCATGTTCCAGAAATTTAAACATTATTTCAACATACCGGGTATATTACTTTTCATAATGAAAGAAAACTACCAGGGTACGTAAAAGTTCATGATGATAGAAGACTAGTATGCAAATGAACTAAGTAATCAAAAGATCTGACATTTCATAAAAAGCATGAATTAGATTGTCTTACCAAAACTATCCATTAGGCTTCTAACTGTTTCTCTTTTGATGCAAAGTTTTGTATTTTTTGGCAGGTGTGGTTCCAATATTTCATTTTTTTCATTGAAGTCAACAAATACTAAAAATACCTGTTAAAAGACAATGCTGTTGTAAAATGCAATCCATCATTCCAAATACTGTAGAAGTACTTTTTTCCGCGTGGTATTAATTTACGCTATGTACGCGGTCACAAATTTTCCGCGGAAATTTGTCCAAGCGTACTTGATATAAATGTAAGACTTATAGTGACAGTCTAGAAAATCCGCGTAATTTTCTACCTGCGGATTAAACAGAAATTGAGATTCCGCGGAATTATGACCCCGTGGAAAAAAGTACGTCTACAGTACATGTATACATGTATTTCAAATGCATGCTTGATTTAACAATAAGCAGCAAGTTACTGTTCATCATCTCAAACTACGGTGCAGAGTCCACATCGAGCTATCTCCTACAAGAGGCTGTTTGATCACATAACTTGTTGTCATCCGATTATGCTTTACTTGAATTGGTCTATATTTTAACGAGTTACAAAATATTCTTTTTTCATTCAATCATAACCAGAATCTGAGAGGATAGTACTCTGGCTAAGGTAAAAATTTGTGCAGCTTTGAGACAGCTTTAACCATGTAATCGTCTGCCACAGATACAAGAGGCCCATGGGCCATAAGGCTCACTTGAGTCACGCACAGTCGCTGACCCTGTTGTCTCTTCAGAGTCTTAAAGTTTTTATTTTAATTATGTGTTTATTTACCCCTTTTTAATTGCTCAATATTATGGACCAAAATTTAGCCCTTAAGGAGCAATGATTTAATCAAAGTTAATTCAATCCTCACAACACTAGGATCCTTAAGTACCAATATCATGACCTAGCTGTTCTGACGAAGGTTCTTTCTTCTTTAAACATGTAGTATATAAAATCCCTAACCCAAAGTAGAGAGAGAAAATCAAAGGCATGAAGGGCCTGTGAGTTGACTCGCTTGAGTTAATTTAGCTTTTTTATACATCTAGAGACCATACCTTATATTCAGTTTATTTTGCATCTTAAGAGATTGAATATTATATGTTCGGTTCAAAAATAAAGTGTATATTGCTTTTCCTTTATATATACAGGCTGGCACTAATGGGCTTCCATACATATTATTGTGAAAATCAGCTCTGCAAAACTGTATTCTATAATGAATTTAAGGACACTAGCTGCTGTGTTCAGTGTTTTGGAGTAATTAGTTTAATGACTCTCACAGCAAATCTGGATTCTAAAAATAGATTTCTCAAGCACACTAGCTGCAGCTAATGGGAGCAGCAGGTGTTTGTGTTAGGGAGTATTCTAGGTCAATTATAAATAAACTTCAGATGGGAAGATTAGATCCGCCTAACATGCTTGAACATATATTCATACACAGTAATTGTACATCATACAGATATTTAATCAAAAATTTCTTTAAAAGCATGAAGATATAAATAATGTAACAGTATGAAATTTTATACAAATTTTACCTCCTAAGTTTATACAATCACTCAAACAAAAGCATTTTTTGCTAGAACTATCATATTTGGCATATGGATCACCTTAATGAATGCGTGAAAAAATTTACAGTTCTGAAACGGCTATGTCAACAGGGAGTAGCTCGCTACGCGAGCCAACTCAATAAAAAAAATCATTTCACACAAACTTTGTATGCTTTGTTTATAAATATGTGAATGTCTTGCCACTCTTAAAACATTTCATTCTATATTCTTCCTTGTAAAAAATCTTGTTAAATTCTGCCTTGTTATAAATCTCCCCTGTAAAACTCTGCCTATTCTTCAACCTATTCCCAAGAACCATGATCTGAAGAAACTTGAATCAAACCTACCAGAGAATGCTTGCACATAAATACAACTAACCAATTGGCTCTGCCATTATTGAGAAGGAAATTTTTGAAGATATAATTTTTTCCTATTTATTCAGTGTAAACTTTGATTGCCTAATGCAACCACAATTCCCTGCAGGTCATGATCTTAATGTAACATTTTTTATATACTTCAATTTCAATATGACTAGAATTGGCCTTGCTGTTCTTGAGAAGAAATTTAAGACTGCCTCACGTGGTTCCGCAGTGGATCAAGATTTCAACAATTTCAGTCTACACTAAGCCTACCTGTGGATGATTCCAAATATTTATCCCTAATAAGCTTTGCTAATCATGAAAAGAAAATTTTTAAACATTAAACTGTATTTTCCTTATAACTTTGATTGCCTAAAATTAACATTCCCCCCCCCCCCCCACTTCAATAGTCATGATATGAACAATTGGAATCTAAAATATCTAATGCTTTAACCTAATTTTTATCTTTTCTAGATCAGTGGTTCTGGAAAAACTTAAACCATTAATTTTGACTTTATAAATAATGTTTTCTTAATTATCTATCACTGAAGTCCTAGTAATTGATCAAAACTTTAATCGATCATCCCCTTGTCCAAAGAATGTTTTGTGGCAATCTTGTTTGAAATTAGCTTTATGGTTCTAGAGAATATGAAAAAGTGAAAGTTTACAACAAAAACAACAACACCAACAATGACAAACAGAAAATGTTGACCATAAAAGCTCACTTGAGCCTTCAGCTCTCAGGGCTCAGATGAACTTATAATATGTAACAATTGCAGACAAACCCTGATAAGTTTACAATTGTCATCATTCTTACATCAATACTGTCAAATAACGTAAATAAACTGAAACTCATTTTGAACTAAATAATTTTCATACAAATTCAGATGGAAGTAAATTCCTTCATTTTACTGAATCATGTTATAAATTTCCTTACTGGATTCAATGTACATTGTACACATACCTTAGAGGGAGGAATGGTATTGAGGTTGTCTGGTTCTGTTATAACAACACGCTTGGTTTGTAGGTGAACATCCTTCAGGCGATCCATTAATGATTTCATCAGTGGCATGTGGCATGATTCCACATTATTATTTGAAAAACTTACTATGCACAAAGAATTTTCTAACTTTTGTCGATATCTCTGAAAAAAACATTAAAAAAAAACATAAAAGTATTAACTTCTTTCCTTTATCATGTTCATTAGATTAAGTTTTCCCAGTTTCATACAATTATCATTGAAGATGTCACATATATACTAGTGCTAATTGTAACGGGAACCGTTACAGATGTTCCCCAAACGCTCCCCAACTCCCTTTTGTGCCATATTCCATGTAAGCCTTATTAAATAAGACAACATCTGTGCATTTTTGCCTTTAACAACGTTTTCGCAGAGGGATACCAATTATATTCAAATTTTAACATTGCAGGCGTGAGCATGTGAATGCACGTGCGCAATGATCATATCATCTTGTCTACAATTTTCTATATATCTAAATATACTATATCTTAAACCATTTAGTCCAAAAGTATTAAAAATCACTCATTCAAGTGTATTTTTAATTTCACTCTTTCCAAATGCACGCACGTGCGTGCACGTGCATGATGACCATACCTTCTTGTAGGAGGCCCTTATATCTATCTATATTCTAAATCCCATCCTGTTTGGTTGAAAACCAAGGGAATTATAGCCATTTCAAGTTTCAGCCAATCAGATAGCAGCACACGTGCATGCGCATTTCATGATTTTTTTCTAAATCATATTGTAGGATATCCCAATGCATGGAATATGTTTTAAATTTCAAAGCATTTCGTCAAAAAACAAAGGAGATATAGCCATTCAAAGTTTCAGCCAATCAGGTTGCAGCACACGTGCATGCGCGTGATTTCTTGAAATTTTTAGTATATCAAATTGCAGGATATCCTAATGCAAGTCTATGTTTTAAATTCCAAAGCATTTCGTCAAAAAACAAAGGAGATATAGCCATTTAAAGTTTCAGCCAATCAGATTGCAGCGCACGTGCATGCGCGTGATTTCATGAAATTTTTTCCATTCTATATTGTTGGATGTCCTAATTCATGACAACGTTTAAAATTTCAAAGCATTTCGTCAAAAAACAAAAGAGAAATTGAGATTTTTGTTTCAGCCAATCAGAGCAAGGCGCACGTGCATGCGCGTGAGTTTGTGCTAATTTGACAGTGTCATATTATTAACACTGTTAATATATCTTTATGTAATGAGTTTCAAAGCATTTCATCAAAAAATGTAAAAGTTATGGCCATATTCAGTATATCTGTCATTTCACTCACTTCACGCGCACGCACGTGCATGCGAATGCGCGCAAAATGACCTTCGTTCCGCACACCTACACTACACACCTATTAACCCTAAAAAGGTTTTAGCTCAGTTGGGTGAACAGTTTCTGAGAACACTCGCGGACAAAAAAGTACCGGAGAACAAAGAAGAAAAAAAAGAATAATAATAATAATAACTAGTGCTAATTGTAACGGGACCGTTACAGATGTTCCCCAAACGCTCTCCAACTCCCTTTTGGTGCCATATTCCCTGTAAGCTTCATTAAATAAGACAAACTCTATGCATCTGAGATTTTAACAACATTTACAAAGAAGTGTACAAAAATCATTTAAACTTTAGCATTGCACGCGTGCACATGTGAATGCATGTGCGTCATGACCATATCATCTTGTTCACACAATCTATATTTTTAATACACTGAATATTAAAGTATTTAATCCAAAATTATTTAGAAAATACGCTCATTCAAGTGTATGTTTGATTTTACTCATTTCACGTGCACGCACGTGCATACATGAGCATGGTGACCATACCTTCTTGTAGAAGTCCATTACATCTATCTATGTTCTAAATTCCACCCTGTTTGGGTGAAAACTAAGGCAGTTATAGCTGTTTAAAGTTTCAGCCAATCAGATTGCAGCCCATGTACACGCACGTGTATGCATGTGCATGGTGACCATACCTACTTGTAGAAGTCCATTATACCTATCAATGTTCCAAATCCAATCCTGTCTGGTTGAAAACCAAGGGAGTTATAGCTGTTTAAAGTTTCAGCCAATCAGATTGCAGCGCACGTGCATGCACGTGTTTTCATGACAATTGCTTTATTTCATGCTGTAGGATATCCTAATGCATGGCTATCTTCAAAAGTTCAAAGGATTTCGTCAAAAAACAAGAAAGATATTGAGACTTTAGTTGCAGCCAATCAGAGCGAAGTGCACGTGCATGCGCGTGAGATCTTGCTATTTTCACCATGTCGTCATGTCTATACTACTAATATATCCTCTCATTATGAGTTTCAAAGCATTTCATCTAAAAATAGAACAGTTGTGGCTATATCTATTATATTGGTCATTTCACGTGTTGCACGTGCACGCTCTTGCAAGCACGTGCGCGCAAAATGACCTTGATTCCGCAAATCTACATAACATGTCTACTAACCCTAAAAAGGTTTTACCTACATCGGACGAACAGTTTACAAGATCATTCCCGGACAAAAAAGTTCCAGGAAGAAGAAGAAGAAGAAGAAGAAGAAGAAGAAAAATAATAATAATAATAAGAAACAGAGTAAAAAAAATATGTTCCACAACTTCATTTGGGGAACATAATAAGAAACCGAGTAAAAACAATATGTTCCCAAACTCCGTTTGGGGAACATAATAACAGCATTTCCTTCTTGAGAAAACTACCAAATTTTCTAGAAATTGCTTAAAAGTGGGACATTGAGAATTGTGGACAAAAAATATAATTCCTAAAAACCTAAATTATACGTGAGAATACAGAAGCTCATTACTTCCATGGGACAAATTGAATTTCTTGACTACATGTATCCATTGTATGATGGAAAACAATCGATAAGGCTTTGCTAAAGAACTATCCATTATTTATTTTGCAACTACCCCTTGCTTTGACCTAACAAAATACATGGTTACTGTCTTGAAATGTAAGCGATATTTGGGTTCAGGTTGAAACCGTGATGGAGGGCTCGGCAAGCCTCACCCTCTATCACGTTTTCTTACCCTCGCTCATATATCACTTATATTTCAAGACAGTGACCAGGTATTTTATATATGCAAATCTAGATTGAATTTCAATTATGTAACTTGAAAGGTCACAGTGTCTTGAAAACTAAGGGGATTAATTTTCTTTTATAAACTGACTAAGTTTGATGAGTTCTAATTAAAAGTCACCTTGTCCTAGTTTTATTATGCAACACAACTACCCAAGCTGTCTAATTCTGAAGATTCTAGCTAGGCCTCATAGTATTTAAGTGTATGGACTGGACACAAGAATCTAAGAAATGGATGGATAGACCGAGAGGATCATCAAGTTAGAAGGACATATAATGACGAGATGTGTTTGTGAAACACTATGCGCCCGGTGGCAACAAAGTTCGAAAAAGCTATTTTTAGCATGTAGGTCATAATCAAGGCCAAAAGTTCATTGATGTTATTTGAAAGAACTTAATTAGTGGAGTATGCATACCAAATATGAAGTCTCAATCTCATATGGTTCAAAAGCTATGGCGAACGTTCGAGAAAGCTATTTTTAGCATATGCCACAGTCAAGATCACAAGGTCTTTGACCTTGGTGACATTTGAAAGACCTAAATTATTGAAGTATGCATACCAAATATGATATTTCTATCTTTCATGGTTCAAAAGTTATGGAGAAGGATAATTTTGGAAAACAGACTAAAAGACAAACAGACAGGTCAAAAACAATATACACCCCTGATCGATAGACCTGGGCACATAAAAAGATGAAAACCCTACTAAAAAGCTAATGTACATCAAAAAACAAGAGCAAAGATTCTACATTACATAACAAACCTCTATATCGGAATCTAGTGAAGTGGATGGGGATTTTGGGGCTGGTTTTTTTCCTCCGTCATTATTTGTGTTTGGTTTGGTCTTCTTGTAACATCTCGAGCAGACTCGACACACACAGTAACAACAACAAATATCCAAAAGAATCGAAAATATGACAGCCACCATGGATGCAACAATGGAATGATCTGTTATATCATTGAAATAGCCTAGGAAATAAAATATGATTTTTAATCTTCATTTGATAAGAAAAAAAAACAACAAAAAATAATAAATTTTATCTTCAATAATGTCAACAGGAATCTATTTATATGCAGAAAAGAGCTGCACATGTCAAAGTAAGAAAGATATTGTTCAACATATTATTATTTAATTATCTTGCTTTCTTTGGAAAAATTTGATCCTACATTATTCTTATTTGCAAAGAGATGTTTTGTTTATTTCACTACAAAAAAATTATGACCAATTAAAAATATTGTGATGCATATCACATACTAAGATGATTGCCTTCATAAGCGGCAACCTTGTTGGCTTAATAAGTTAATTCATTTGATTTGTAAATCCAGCTCCATTAGTATGAGTATCCCAAAGCTATTTGGAATACCACTATTAGTGAAAAACTTGTTAGAACTTGGCAAAATGTTAAATATTGTAATTTGATTAGAAAATTGTGAGTATTGAATTGTGCACATCATATCGGAAGCCAACCACTTCTCGCAGTTTCCTCACTGGGTATTTTGAAAACTTCACAACACTTTCTCTGCAGTGCTAGTACCTAAATATTATAATTAATGTCAATGTATATTTTACATGTTTTACATCTGATTAATAAAATTAATAATATAAGGCTATAAACATTACACAAAGAAAACGAAGAATTCTGAGATTGACAAAATCAATAAAGGCATTCATGCCATGAATTAAACATTTCTAAAAGAAAACTTTCATTTAATATCATAGTTGATTTAAAGTGAGTTATTTTCTTGCACCTCAATTTCTTTAAAGTGATTGGGGGATTGGCTTTCTTAAGCCTCAGCTCCATTCATTTGAAAAAGAGGTACTCAAAAATATGGTATTGACCCAATAGTTAAGTTCAAAGGTGCATTTTTGGAAATACTCAAAAACTTTGTACTTGCTCAATAATAAAGTCCAAACTGGCAAAGGTGCACTTATGGAAACAAATTAACTACAATTACTTACCATAAAAAATAGGTTTTTTTAAAGTTGACCAATTTGAAGTATTGGAAAGAAATACTAAGGTATTATTTGTAACATTAACTAGGGTCACAGTTACAGATGAAATAATGGTACTCGCAACTTCCACATAATGAGAAAAGTTGAAGCGCTCCGATTTTTCTTTTTGTAACAGTTTTTCAATTCTGTTCAGTTTTTCATCAATATCACTTTCAGGACCAGTCAAAAATCTATCCCCACTTTTGTCTTCTGATTTGTCCTCTAATCTTTCCATTATCTTTTCCTCCAGTTTACGTAGATTATCTAATTTGGTATCTAAGTTTTTAATTAATTTATCTTCCATCTCTTGCATCTGTTTGCTGTACTTTTCCATTGCCCTCTGCACACCACTATTTATAATGTTGTTCAACATTTCAGGTGTTATAACTGTTTGTACTTCTCCCTGTTTATAGTGCTGCACCTCACTTGTCTGTGGGTTTTCCTTCTGGACTTTTTGCAGCTCTTTCTGAACCATGAATTTTATGTAGTCATTCATGTCTTCCAGACTAGTTTTACTTGGGCTACTGGGATTTTTAAGATCAGCTTCTGATTTGTCAGCTGGGCCAATATTCTTGTATATTACACCTCCAAATAATGCTCTGAAATGAGATATAAATATTTCTTAAAATATGACTATATGCAGTAACAGCTCATTGAGATACAATTATACCTTGATGGATATACTGTAGAAGTACTTTTTTTCCGCGTGGTATTAATTTACACTATGTATGCGGTCACAGATAATCCGCGGAAATTTATCCAAGCGTACTTAATATAAATGTAAGGCATATAGTGACAGTCAAGAAAATCTGCGTAATTTTCTACCTGCAGATTAAACAGAAATTGAGATTCCGCGGAATTATGACCCCGCGGATAAAAGTAGGTCTACAGTACATGAATGTTTAAAAGAGGATCATGGTGCCAAAATCCATGTGCAGAAAGGAAAAAAATTGTACACTTTGAATAGAAAACTATTGGAATGGCCAAAATCACCACATATGAACCCAAGTTTCTATGCTAATGGAACTGCTAAAATAAGCCATTACATAATCATCATCACTCTACAGAAAGTGTTATAACAAGCAATTCAGCAATGTAAACTATTGAGAGAATTTTAAAAAAATTCAATCTAGCTTATACTCCTAAAATAATTAGCAAGCATTTTTAGCAAATCAGGGTTTGACACTAAGTTTTAAGGATATTAGTCTTGCCATACTAGTAGTGCTTCTTTACTGTTACAATGACACAAGACATAGTATGTCTTTAAGTTAGAGAAAAAATGATGCATACATGTACAGTTAAATACTGAACTGACTCAGAATTGCCTAATTATTCCCCAAAAAGCTAGAAAGCAAAACAAAAATACATTCTGGTTTTCCTGTTAAAATTGTGAAAATTAAACCTCAGAAATTTAATCACAGTGTTTGCCTGGAACTTTTATTGGTTTGTTCAGACTAATACAGTTTTCTTAGTCTAAATAAAAATGTACAGTAAAACCTGTCTAACCCATATAACACTGGTTTCAACAAAAATGGCTAGATTAGACAAAACATTTTAAACATGTTAAACATTTTAAACAAGTAACTTTACCAAAAATGTCTGTATTAGTCTGAGATTAACAGACTCATTGATGTGAATGTCAAACCCTGCAATTTGTGTGCAAATTTTAAAATTTTTACCATATATATTGATGTTAATTTCCACCAATGCCTGAAAGTATTTATAGAATAAACATAGTGAAAGCACAAAAAAAATTTTAAAAAGAAAGACTTATTTTGAATGTTAGTATTTGTTAAAGATTTGTGCTTCATGCATGGTTGGAAAAATGTAATACCAGAACTGTGTATTTTACATATAAATTAATTTCTTTAATTCAGAATGTCTAACAAGAAGCTTGTATGTCCTTCAAACTTCAGTAATCTGCAGAATTTTATGTCCTGTAGAACGTAAGATCATAAAATATTATATTCATAACATTTTTCTCAATTCTAGTACATTAAATTAATTGCTTTGAACATGTTGAAACATCACAGTAGGCTTGCCTGTAGATTAGTGAAATACGTACGACATGTACATTCACTTTTACTTTAAATTAGTCCAATTTCTAACCCTAAATACATAAATGTATTAAAAATCACTAACATGATAATGTTGCCATGACATGTCCCTAAATTTTTTTTTTCTGAGAAACCCAGACATTCAACAATGTATAAGTTTACATTTTTACAGCCTCGATATTTAAGTCACAGCCTAATAAGCTTATCAGTTATCATGGCACTGACTTAATCAATGAATATTATATAAGAGCTGAAGCCATATACTTGTTACACATGTAAATGAATTATTTTACACTCATATTTGTCTTGTGACTACATCATGCATATAAACATTACATATAATATATATTGTGTATAATTAAAATTGGTGCAAAAGTGAATTATGCTGTTCCATGATACACATGACAACTAGATTACTGTATTCTAAGCATTTGGTCACCAGCTATGAAACCTACTCAACTGCTAAAACCAACTCACTTACATGGACATGATGATACCTGCACTGGTTGCTATTGGTGATGGCATATTCAGTCAAATTCATGATGTTCTGAAACAAATGCAATAGGCAGAGTTATAATACAACATATGGCTATAATTAATTCTCAGTCTCTCACCTAACATATAACTAGGGCCTTCTTGTTCTTCATCATCAAGTTCTTGTTGCTATTGACTCCCATATAAAACTTCTATTTTTACCTTTTGTAGCCCTGTTCTACCTCCTGAAGTCATGATTTGAACAAACTTGAATGATGAATCTATTACTATCTGAGAAGTGAGGATGCTTCCATATAAATATGATTTAACATATCTTTGCCGATCCTGGGAAAAAGATTCTTAAAGACTTTTAAAGGTACAAGGACACAGATTTGAAGTTACATGTAATATTTTCTGTATAATATCACGAATTATATATTTTAATAGCATTTCACGCAAAATTAATTTAAAATTTTATTTCATTTAAAAGTAATTAAAACTTTAAATTTTTTGGCGGGTTTGATTGACAATTAAAGAGAAAATATTAACTTCAAATCTGTGTTCAAGTACCTTTAAAATGTTTTCTTATATAAAATTTGATTACCTATTCAGCACAATGTGAAGCCACCCTACTCAAAGAGAGAGAGAGAGATGGAGAGAGCCAGAGAATCAAGGAGGAGGGGAGGGGTGTTGACATGATTTGAACGAATTTGAATCTTGCCTATAGATTCTCGATATAATCATGAAAAACATGTACAATGATCATAGGTTTTTCTAAAACAGAGGATTTTTACAGATTCTTCCTCTGGATTTGAATTTCTTTGTAACACTTTGATTGCCATAAGTACTAACCAACCCAAAGGTCAAGTTCAAACCAATCTGATCATATCTTTCTTCAATTCTTGTGGATATGATTGATCATATAGCTTTGCATATTATCTGTATCCCAAGATTTTCAGTCTATAGATTTCTCCTTATTATCATTTAAAAAAATAAATTAACCATTGTAACCCAACCTTACCTCAGGGTGATATGTTACCTAAAAATAATTTATAAATTACATTATAATTTCATAAATAAAGTAAATCTAAATTCTATCATCGCTTTACTAACAGCGTGATGGTTTGCTTGATTGGGCGTGCTAAATTTTCATATGCTGATTATCATTTTATTCATCGAATGGATGTTTGATTTCAATGGAATCGATATTACTTTGCATATGAAACACAGAACCCAGCAATTCCAATGACAATACTGACTAATCACATGGAATAAACAACAATTACATGTGAATGGACAAAGCAAGTTTTACTTCCTATATAATGATATTGATAGCTACACAGTACAACAGTAGCAGAGTAGCTTTACTAATTCCATTCTTTAAATTTTCTTATACATGTTTACGTATTTGAAAACCCATCAAATCACAACAAATATAATACATGCTTTTTTGAGGACAGAAAACAGGCTTTGACTGACCACGTGTTGCTCCTGACTACAAATGCCGTACTGGGAAACATGCAATCATTCAATGTGATTGGCCAGTATTATTGGGGGTATTGTTGTATTCCTATGTTTCATATGTAAATTAGTATTGATTTCATTGATCCAATCGATGAGTAAAATGGTAACCAGCACACAAAATTTAAGCACGCTACATCAAGCAAACTGTCACGCTGTTTGTAAAATGACAATATATAAACATGCAATGCTTGTACACCTACGGATGTGCATATAAAATGTGATGCACGGCTGGAAATATGAATTTTTATTCAGCCATTGAAGAAAAATCTTACTCCCAATGGTTAAGGTGCTTGGGGAATATGGCTAAAGAAATCTTTAATTCTTCCCGTAAAAATATTGCAAATATTACAATATTAAAGCGATAAGACGGTTATTTCCTAAAATTTATGGGAAATTTAATCGGGATCGGGATGACATAAAATAAAATCAGTGACGTATGAATAATTTAAATTTCAAATCGGTAATAAAAACATTGTATCATTTTAATTTTAAATTCTATAAATATCAATATTATGAACCCAATTATATACAAGTTATTACAAATGTAGTAAATATAGCTTGATTTTTTTTAGTTTCTTCACGGATATTTCATATAACGTTACACTGCGTAAGTTCCTCGCTTTCCCTTTAGTATCACGCCAAAACACTACCGTTTGAAATGATTATAAATATATCAATCCAGCATTGACGTACTCTAACGATTTTTTAAACAGCAACCCTACTGTGTACCGATTTTTGATGCAATGTGGTATATCAAATTCAAAGACATTTAAAAATAAGATCAAACATGGAGAATCGAAAGTAGATCATCCTCCTTGATATGTTATATTGAAGATGAATAAAATAAATATCTGTGACTAAAAGTATTCGCTCCTAGATTTTTCATGGTGTTTTGACATTTTCATAAAGGTACCTACCCTGTGCACAAAAAAAAAAATCAGAAATCCTCCATTTGGTGGGACAGCAATGTTGATACTACTGTAACTGGAAATTCCAGAAGCCCCCGTTTTTTGGAGAATACCCATACAGAAGGGTAGAAGTTCCAATGAAGTGGTAGAAGCCCCATAAAATTGAATGATTTGGGGTACATAAAACCCTAAGGTGATGTTTAAATGACTGATATTGATATCCGTAAACTGTTATAGCCAATCTTACCTCAGAGTCGACAGAAATCGGGCGCCATTTCTTCTTTTCTTCATATACCGTACACCACGCCCGATCTAAAATCGCGATCGCTGAAGTCGTTTCGAGTAAATCATTAGCGTAATCGTGATCAAAAGTGAATAATATATTATATGATTTTTATTTTCAAAAAAAAAAAATATGAAAGGAAAGTTAAGACTATAAATGAAGCATTAAATATTTCCTAAATGAAATAAAATATAAATTATGAACATATTTCATGGCATACTTAATTGAATACTTTTATCCACACTGGTTTGTACCTACCAAAAAAGAATTCTATATCAAAAATCATTATGGAAAATATGAAAATATTTGTATAGCTGACGTGTTTTGTTTTGTTTTTTTTTTCGGTAATAAATTGGAACTACGAGTCCGATCAGTGATAAATGTGTTCAAGATGCAAGAGTTTCTCCAATATTTCCAGTTAGGATTTATTTATTTATTTAATTTTTTATCATTCTATTGACAAAAAATTATAATCAAAATTCTATGTGCAAATTAACAGCATTCAAAGACAAAATTTAATTTTATACACTGTAATTCATGGAAGCATTGGGTGTTGAGTGCACCATTCTTAGTATAAGTAGTAAAGCCTCCGCTTTCCCTATACAAATTAGAATAAATTAGACCTTCATAATTTATTTCCACTTTTTAAGTGAAATGCAAGAATATATTATATACATTACATGGTGCTTGAAAAATGAAATATTTAATTAGGTTGAGACCCCACTGACAATCTCAGTTTAGTGTTAATATTATTTAGGTTTATTCTCTATAGAGAAGTGGACAGGCTTTCGACTACATCTGAATGGATGTAGGCGAAAGCCTGTCCACTTCTCTATAGAGAATAACTTAGGTTATGCACTTTATAACCATAATTATGTATGACACGACAAATTCAAAAAAATGAGCTAAACATATTGATAGTTTCACAGTTGATAAACTAGATTTATGGACTGTAAACTATAGTTTAACTTTACAACCCGTAAACTATATAGTTAATAATTCGTTAATAATCTAAGTTTATCTGTCTGTAATAAAACGTTACACAATAGATTTTGTTGATAAATATAGATTCGCATCTGTAATTAACTATAATTTACCATCGTGATCGGACTATAGTAAGGAGTTGTTAATCAGTTTCACAAATCGTGAAACTATATTTATCAGCTCGTTATCGCGTTAACTATGGTTTACAAATGTAAAATATCTAGATTAACGTTGTGAACTATAGTTTCCAGTCCGTAAACTATAAGTTTACAACGGATAAACCTAGTTTATCGACTGTGAAACTATGTTTAGCTCGTTTTTTTTTTCATTTGGCATGCCATACATATGACCTTAGGTGTTATCACAGACAAGCTCAGCAGATTGGGGAAACTGAAGTAAAAACATGCCAAGAAACCTCGACCATTTTCAACAGGGATGGATTCAGTAAACTGCAGCAGAATTGAGAGGGTGTCCTTAGTTTTCAGTTTTTTAGTTATAGGACGCTCTTAAACTAGAATGTGTATACCTCTTCCTGGCATGGGAATTGGGAAGTATCCCTCACTTGCAAATCTGAAGTGCATCATTCTTGATCCGCCCCCAGAACTTCAAGTTACATAACTTGCGTCTAATTTGCAATATTTATTTGCATACTACCAGTTCAGTTCTATAGAACTATATCTAGAGATTCAGTTCTATGAGAGAAAATTTTGAATTTCTGAGGACAAAGACGGTCAAAAAATAGCAGCTTCCTTGTTTCATTCTCAGAGATGGTAATTCATCTGAGGACATTAAAATTAACATACATGTACATGTACAGTCATAAAGAACCAATATTATTTGCAGAGATGGGAGAATGTTAATGGGTTCAGGTATCAAGATCCAGTATTAATAATAGCAAAATATAAATTTTTATCTTTTCTGCATGATTGGCGAGAAAAATATACCTAAGAGAATTGCAGCACAGTTATCCAAACAGCTAGGGATTCGTTATATCATTCCCCAAATACCATTAAAAAAAAACGAAGTCTACTATTTATAATTTTTGTGCGGATTCTTAAAAGTCAAATATTTTAAGCTATGCATAACATTGGAATCGCTTCTTCCTGGAATTTGGTACATGTATATATGAAATGTTCAGCATTGCTTGAGGGGGATGCAGGCGAAAGTTCAATTCATGCCATATATGACGATTTTTATTTTCGAGTGCATGTATCAGTCCAATTTTTACTCGCAAACATTATGTATGAACAATTTTAAAATTAGAAATTGAAATAAATAAGAGCCGAACAAGAGCAAACAAACTCCCGAGAAGAAAAGTCCGACACTAAAATAAAACACAGACCAGGCTACACCAACAGCAGAAAGAAAATACATGTATTTTATTCCTAATTAAAATAAAAAAAAATCCATTTTAGTACATTTTACTCAAATTAAACCTTCAGATTCCAAATTTCCACATCACAAGATACATGTACAAAATGATTATGTACAGAGCATTGTGTTACTTGATTAGATTACCCTGAAAATACATCTGCAATCCATACTGATTTTTTTTAAATTGTGTAATACCCCACTTAATCAAAGCTACACGTAGATGATTACCCTATAAATGTACATCTTTGAAGTCATTTTCAAACTAAACCAATACATCCACATGATATGTGTTGTGTTATCATTTCCATGATGTGCTGCAAGATCTGTCGAAGCGTTAATTACTGAATACATCCTCCGGTGAGTGAGGGCTAATGGTCTGATATATAAGTAGATTCACCAGCATATTGACACTACACTATAGTATTCGAAGAAATAGACGGACAATGAATGGGAAAAAATTATGACAAAGACTTCATTTTCCGTCACATTGGACGCACACGTAACTAAAATACAAGATTTTCTAGGAAGAATTATTGTCAATGATTTCAGTGAATCAACGAAAAAAAACAGGACCAAATGCGGGAATAAAACTACTTGCTGCCATTGTGGTTGTCTGTTTTATACCAATTATACAGATGTACATGTATATACATAAATATAATATACATGTATAGTGGTAATATACAGCTTTTAAAAGTTAACTTTATAGGTTTTTGATGCCATATAATACCCTTTTTCAAAAGTATTGTGCTTTTACACTTTTCCAAAACTTTTGCATGGAGTAGAAGGACCCAAATAACTGCTCTCTCGTCAGATGAACACAGTTGTCTACTCCTTTTGATGTTTTATCGATTTGTGCATCACGGCTCTAGGGAGCTGTATATGAAGCAGTAAGAAAAATTTCAGCCCAATTTTTTAAATTTTCAATTCACTAGTGATCTGATTAAATGTGATTTCTCTTAAAACAAGAATATCTTTGGAAAGTTTGGCTTAAGCTGACTTATTGTTATAAGTTTTCAAAAATAATTTAAAATCGTAAAACACTAGTTTTTAACAATTTAAGACGACGGATCAAAAGGTCATAACTTCAGCATCTGTCAAGCGAATTTTTAAGTAAATACAAAATTCTGAAGTTTTTTAGATATCATCACGAGTCTTTCCTCTGCTTTCTTTTTCTATTATTTTTATCAGCTGCTTCTGTAGGTAATCCGTTCTCACTTGGTACTGCTATCTTCACCTTTCGGGACACAATGACCAATATAAACAACACAACCTCTCCAACAGTCAGCAAGAACACAGTGATTGGAAGACAGGCTGAAACAAAGAATAAAGACCAATTTCAATAGACAGTGCATTGTAAAATACACTGTATATAGAATATGTCTAAGCAGATACTTTAAAAGTTGCTATTCAAACGGTCGAATGATACCAAATATCTTTCAAGGAATGGTACAGAGGAGACTAAAAGATCATTACAGATAATGAATGTCTTTAATGTTTTTATGTTGTTAATATTTATGTAAACATGCTTATTTTTTTATATTGTTAGCATGTTGTACGTACATGTATAATTAGCATACACTTTATTTCTAAATGAATTAAAATACCCCGACCAGTAAGCTCATAAGACCATCGACGATGTCCAACGTAAAATACAAATTGGTCGGTTTACAAATAAAATAGACTGAGAATTTTTAGAATTTGGTTACAGTTACAGATTTTGAATATGGTCCAATGTGTGAAAAATATTCATATATAGCTACAAATGCATGCATATCAGACAACTTTCATTCGGAGTTTTTTTAAGCCGAAAAGCCTTTGTAACGTCCCATATGAAAAAATACTATTAAAATTCAATCGGAGTATTCAGTTGACTACTAGTTGACGGTCAACTGACCGTCAATTGACCATTAGTTGAATTTTTGCCATGCAAATGAAGCGGTCAACTCATTTGCATAGCCAGTTGACCACTGTTGAATGCTACTATATATTCTTTGCAGTTGACCGTTAGTTGAATACTCCACTATTTCCTTTACAGTTGACCGCTAGTTGAATACTCCACTATTTTCTTTGCAGTTGACCGCTAGTTGATTACTCCTCTATTTCCTTTGCAGTTGACCGCTAGTTGAATACTCCATTAGTCAGTGCACATAGGTTTTTGAAAAAAAAATGGAGGGAGAGTATATAAAATTTTAAGATTTGTTTTACAAGCAGTGTTTTTGAAAATATGAAAAGTCAAACCAATAGAGTTTCTAATTTGACATAAATGTTTTGTAAATCTAAATGCATTATAAATGAATTGAGCTGGCACACTCTCATAAGTTGTTAGCAAGTGTTTTGTTGTGTTTCTTAATTTTCTGGGCAGAAAAGGTTACATGTATATATAGAATTAGTCTAAAGCAACGGTATATTTTTTTACCAACACAACAAGAAACACAACAAAACACTTGATACATGACAAGTTTTTAGAATTCTTTCAATATTTAAAAAAGTACACAAAAATAGGGAGTTTCGGGACCTATACTGGCTAGAGTTTTTTGTATTCCTATTATCTGTTTAAAAATAATAAGCTTAGTAAAACAAATCTTAAAATTTTATATACTTACAATAGTACATGAGATATTTCACACGCGGAATCATCACGAAGACAATAATGTTTCAAATCAAAATTCCCATCTTCTACAGAAAACACACATGTTGGTTGTTGTAATTATGGTATAACAAACCCGATCTTTGATAATGTAATTTTGAACCCAACATAAATGTAGCGTGGGAGAAATTTCTAACAAGTCGGAATGTTCAACTAGTGGTCAACTCTGGTTCTACATGAAATTTCAAAGTATTAGCATTCAACTAATGGTCAACTGGCCGTTTTATGCAAATCAGTTGATCGCTTTTCAGAAAAATTCAACTCCGAGTGGTCAACTGTTTTCGCATTATCAGTTGACGACTAGTAGACAACTGAATGACGGTCAACTACACATTTTCGTATGGGGTGCAAGGGAGGTCACTGCCTGTGAACCCCCGCAGGCTCGTTATTATTATTGTCGTTATGGGTATTTCCTGTGTGAACAGAGTGGTGGATCTGTGTGGTTTTTATGTCACGTGACATGGTCATATAAATAGCAGGTGCGTGCTTTAAAAGTTATTCTACCGCTCGTACAGAACGTTGTAAGGAATGGAAACCAGTACAGCGAGTTCAGATGTGCACTATTCTGAAGAAGTTTTATTGGGCGAGTCTAGCGAACAATTGTCTAACGAGGATGCAGTATCTTTGTTTAATAGTTCATTGAGAAAAGCTTTGCAACAGCAGAATGAAGCCATTGTGAGTTCTATTGTGAAGCAAATTAACAGTAAACCTAATAATCCCGCCACGAATACCGGGCACGAGGATAGCGCACGGGAGGATACTAAGCATAACTCATTCGATTTCAAACACGAGGGACATCGCATTCAGCACACCTTCAATACAGAGAGAATAGAGAAGTTGATTGAAACAAAAAACCTTATAGAGAAGAAAGATTTGGATAATGCGGCACTGACAATTGAGAAAGAAATCGGCGAGTTGCGACAACGAAACAAGATTCTAAAAATAGCAGACAGGCACGGGTGGGATACTGTCAACGAATATTTAGACGATCCATTAGCAGACAACAATGACGACGCTGTTAAGTTACGGGGCGCTGTTAGCCGTGCTGTTCGTAAGCGTAATTACAGAGGGAAGCCATATACATATCCCATGCAAAACCGTAGACAGAATGCATTTGCTGCCAACGACTTTTTTCGCACTTTCGGCCAAACGTTTGCTACAGGGGGGTACAAGCAATTCGCCAAACCAATCGAATACGGCGCAGGTCAACAGAACTTCGAACGGAAGTGCTTTTTCTGCAGACAGGTCGGACATTATGTCAGGGACTGCCCATTTGCCAGAGGACAACAAGTTCCAGTGTCAACTTCCACGGTCGCATCGGCCTCTAGCAACAACGCCAACAAGCAGTAGTAGAGAACAAGTTGAGTATAGTGAAAATGAAGGCTGTATGAGTGATTCTTATGAATATGAGTTAAACACGTGTTCGAAGATTTCAGTAAAGTTTCGGTTAAAAAATTGTTTACAATTTTGGAAGGGTGAATTGTCTTCAAACATATTTGTTAAAAATACTATTCAGTTTGGTTATGTAATTCCATTTATTATATCGCCGCCTAAAGTCGTTTTAAAAAATAATAAGTTGGCTCATATTCACAGTGATTTTGTTTGTACAGCCATCAATGATCTTTTAAATTCTGGTTGTATTCACGAAATATCTGAAGAAAAAATACATGTTGTTAATCCACTTACTGTTTCAGTGAACAGCACAGGTAAGAAAAGGTTGGTGTTAGATCTTCGACATGTAAATCAATTTGTAGAAAAACAAAAGGTGAAGTTTGAAGGGGTGAGTGAGGCTTTACAATATGCAAAACAGGGAATGCACATGATTAAGTTCGATTTAAAATCAGGTTATCACCATATTGATATACATCCAGATTTTCACAAATATTTAGGTTTTTCTTGGAAATATGGTGACAAATTCAGATTTTTCGAATTTAATGTGTTACCTTTTGGTTTATCTTCAGCAGGGCATGTTTTTACTAAAGTAGTGAGAGTTTTAGTGAAATATTGGAGATCATGCGGTATACCTGTGGTAGTATACTTGGACGATGGTTGGGTTTGTGATACGTATGAGAAGTGCAAGTCTGCATCAGACACAATACAAGATACGTTACAGAGATCAGGTTTTGTTATAAATACTGAGAAGTCAGTACTTGAGCCTACTCAGAGTATGGTGTGGTTAGGGTTTTTGTGGAATTTGAAAAGCGGGACGCTAGAAGTGCCTTTGGAAAAAATTAGTAATATTAAATCTTTATTAAAAGAACTTTTAGAGAATAAAAACAATATTTCGGCGAGAAAATTATCTTCTATTGTGGGAAAAATTATCGCATTAAAACCATCTTTGGGAAATATATGTCAGTTAATGACTAGACGTCTCAGTATTACAATTTGTTCTAAAACTGGTTGGGATGAAATTTTGTATATAGACAATGGGAATATTCAAGAGTTAGAGTTTTGGCATTACAATATCAGTAAGCTCCCTTGCAAATATTTTACATGTATTGATAAGAAACCAGAGAAAATTATTTTTTCAGATGCAAGTTCTCATGAAGGCGCAGGGTTTACATGTGAAAGAAATAAGAAAATAGTTCATTACATGTGGGATCAGTGTGAAAAAAGTAAAAGTTCAACTTGGAGAAAATTAAAGTCAGTACAAATAATTTTATCAAGTCTGGCAGATGTGTTGAGTGGAAGATTTGTGAAAATATTTACAGATAATCAAAATGTCGTGCGCATCGCATGTAAAGGTAGTATGGTTGACGAGCTGCATCAGCTGGCATTGAGTATATTTGGTGTCTGTGTGCAGTACAGTATTTTACTTGAAGTACAGTGGATACCAAGAGAATTCAACATGGATGCAGATAGTTACAGTCGCATATTTGACAGTGATGATTGGGGTGTGTCTGATCACATTTTCCGATATTTTGATAGAATATGGGGTCCTTTTACAATTGATCTTTTTGCAAATTGTAGGAATAACAAAGTTGAAAGGTTTTATTCAAAATATTGGAATCCAGGCACTACAGGAGTTGATGCTTTCGCTTATGATTGGTCAGGTGAAAATTGTTGAATAGTACCTCCTCCTTTCCTTATAGGCAAAGTGATAAAACATTTGCGTTTGTGTAATGCATATGGAACTTAAATCATTCCTAAAAGGTTGTCTTCTTTATTTTGGCCAATGATATGGGATAAAAGTACAACATCTTACAAATCTTACATAAAAGAATATGTTGAATATAAGAACCCAAGAAAATTTTTTATGTCAGGATCAGACAAGTCGAGTATATTTGCTCAAGATATGTTTTTGAGCAACGTTTTGGTTGTTAGAATTGATTTCAGAAAAATATAATAATAGCAGTTTAAATATGTAAGTGAGTGTGTTGTTATATTTTGCTGTTTATTCACAGATTTTTAATGATACTTGGGCGGAAATTAAAGACATGTCAACGAAAGAGCAGTTTAAATCGGCAGATTCCTCAATATTCCACATCATGAAAAGTGCAAAAAGTAAAAACACAGTCAAGCAGTATGAAACGTATTTCAAGAAATTTACGCAGTGGTGTATTTCCAAAGATGTCGAAAGTGTGATTGCCATTTTTTTAAGTGGATTAATTCAACAAGGAGTCTCTGAAGCAGTTCTGTGTTCATTTTTCTATAGTATAAAGTGGTATCATGATCTTCATTGTGCGTTTTCTAATCCCTGTGACGACAGTGTTATTCATAGTTTAATGGAGGGGGGGAAACGAATTTTATCAAAGCCCATAAAGAAGAAGGAGCCAATTTCGCCAGATGTGTTAGAGAAGATTATAAATGTGTATGGGGAACGGGAGCAAAATTGTGATTTACGAAGTGTAAGAACAGTGGCTATGTTGTTGTTGAGTTTCGCAGGTTTTTTGCGATTTAGTGAATTATCTAATATTAAAGTGAAAAATATAATTTTCAAGAATTTATACATGAATGTTTGCATCGAATCCAGCAAAACTGATGTATACAGGCATGGTAACGAAGTGACAATGGCAGAGGCAGGAGGAAAGCTGTGTCCTGTATCTTGGATTAAGCATTATTTAAATCTAGCTGAAATTCAGGATAAACCAGAGGAATATGTCTTCAGAGCAATTAGATTTTACAAGTCATGTGGAAAATATATGTTGTGCGGTATTAACAAACCGATTTCATATAAAAGAGCCCGAGAGTTATTGTTAGAAGCTTTGGAAAAAGTGGGAATAGATTCAAAAGGTTTTGGTTTGCACAGTCTGCGAAGTGGAGGGGCAACGACTGCAGCCGAGAAAAATGTGTCGGAGCGTCTGATCAAAATACATGGACGTTGGAAATCTGACTATTCCAGAGACAATTATATTAAGGATTGTATAGATAACAAATTGAAAGTGTCTAATAGTCTTTTCGTGTAAATATAATTGAATATATATCAATAAATATACATGTATATGCATATATAGTGTGTGTGTGTGTGTAGACAGGTATTATTATTTTTTACAATTTTCTCTTTGATTGTTCTACGTTCTGACGAGCAGCATTCCATACATATGAGTTGATTATTCTTTCAATACAGAATAAAGAGTATAATTAATTTATATTCGGACGAACGAAGTGAGGGAGAATATAATTATTATTATTGTCGTTATGGGTATTTCCTGTGTGAACAGAGTGGTGGATCTGTGTGGTTTTTATGTCACGTGACATGGTCATATAAATAGCAGGTGCGTGCTTTAAAAGTTATTTTACCGCTCGTACAGAACGTTGTAAGGAATGGAAACCAGTAAATTAGGCACACACACACATATATGTACGTATATATAAATATTATTTAATGATTAAAAATAATGGGTGTTGAAATAAATACAAATGTGTTAAATTCGTAATAAACGTTCTGACGAGCAGCATTCCATACATATGAGTTGAATATAATACCCGTGATAAAAACGGATAGCCTTGAGATGCTGCAAATATGTACAATGCGCAGTCTTAATCACTTGGTACTGCGTTATATAAGGTCTTTACTGGTAGCGAACAAGTGACACTGGCAGGGAAGTCCACACACCAGTGCACTTCCACAAGAGACAAGCAGGGATGACCGCACACTCGACCTTGCGCAGTGACAAGCATGGATGACCGCACACTTGACACTAATACGGCTCTAGCTTAGAGACACTGGCAGGGATGTCCGCACACCAATGCTCTACCACAAGACGCAGGTAGGGATGTCCGCACACCTGATCTTGCGCAGCAACAAGCAGGGATGTCCGCACACTTGTTACTTTATGATGCCAATCACAGAGCAGGGATGACCACACACTCTGTCAAGTAATAAGCAGGGATGACCACACACTTACTACTTAAAACAGTACAATATAAGCAGGGAAGTCCGCACACTTATATGTACACACACAGGTTTGTCAAGTTTTACCTCTAGAACCGACCTCGCAATCCTCGCCAGTAAAAATCCTATATATCCTAACACCATCTAAAATACTTAGTGATTATTTATTTACAAAGTAATTAAAACACAAATCAAGCTTCCAATCAACCAATCTTTAGTTATCCAACTAGTGTAACATACAAAGATTATTATTGATAGCTTTAATTCAAATTCAACACTAATTAAGTATTTATTTAAGCACATATATAATTAGTTATTAAAAGGACAAGGGCGATAACTTTCGCTATAATGAAAATAGAAAACGGTTTTCCGTTTCATCACCCCCACCCCAGCTTTATGCGTCCTCGCATAAAAAAACACAACTGCATTTTTAAGAATCGAACAAATGCTATTTACAAAAACAAATATCTACACTGTATTCCCCATTCTGCAAAATAAAATATGTAAAAATATTCTACTCAACAGAATAGTAATTACAGTATCACATTTACCATTGCGCAAAACAAAATGTTATATTTTGTTTAACCCAATGGTAAACAGAACCAATCAGGTTCACTTGCTGACCCAGGTGCCTTTCATTTCTTTGAATTCCCTCTGCAAAGTCTCAAACTTTGCGCTTAATTCCTCAAGTATCGAGGCAGTTCTTCCTTCCGCGGATTCAACGGTAGTTGGGCGCGCATAGTTCTTTTTCTCAGCTCTGTTGTAAGCTTCTAATTCGACAGCCAATTGTATAGCTTCATTAAGATGTTTAGGACGCGCCTGCTTTATGCGGATGCGCATTTCCGTGTCGACCAATGCGTCCACAAATTGGTCTTTAGACAGTGTTTCTCGAATCTCAGCTGTCGCAGTGGGGTAGGCTAAGTTGGCAAGTCTGCGAATGGCCTGTCCTACCTCCGGAAGAGATTCTCCAGCTCTTTGGCGCCGCTCTCGCATCTGCAACCTGTATAGCTCCGTTTGACTCGGGGGTGCAAACCTATCTTCCAGTGCTTTAACAAGTGTTTTATAATCGGGCTTTGTCCCCTTTGGCATGTTCCCTAACACTCCTTGCGCACCTCCCCGAAGAGAAACTGCTAAATACAATCCTTTCTGAGGATATTTCCATCCACTGATTTCCGCACATGCCTCGAAATGCGCATGATAATCCAACCAGGGACCACTGCCATCATACATGTACGTTGCTGGCTTTATCAATTGTCTTTGCGCTGGAAACTCTGCCAGCGCGTCGTCTCCGCTATGAGGACTTGCTAATTTAACTCTGGACTTCCTTCTCATTATTCCAGGGAGAATAGAATCGTTTAGATCGTCCCTGTATAGTTCTTCATGACTAAGTCTACGCCAATGTTTGTCGTTTCGCGCCGCTTCTCTATGAAATCTTGTATGAGACTCTGGAGGGCTGTAATCACGAGGTCTTTCTCCGGCTTCTCTAAACATGTCCCTGAGAGATTGTCCTGTAGACTTTTCTTCAGGGAAAGGTGCGTGCTGGGCTAGCGCACCATCATGTTCAAGCGTTAATGACTTTTCTTCTGTCTGCCGCAATTCTCCGGAGATGTGAGATTCACCAACACCCGAGTCTCTTACTTTGTCTTTCAGACGCGGGGTCACTGGAGTCGATGACTTAAAATTTCTATTCCTGATACTTTCCTCCTTCAGCTCCGCGAGCTTCTCTTCTATCAGAGATAATTCTTTGTCTACGTCTTCCATCGTGCAGCTATCTCAAGGTATCCCACCGCTGCCACCAAATTTTATGTAACGTGCAAGGGAGGTCACTGCCTGTGAACCCCCGCAGGCTCGTACCCGTGATAAAAAACGGATAGCCTTGAGATGCTGCAAATATGTACAATGCGCAGTCTTAATCACTGGGTACTGCGTTATATAAGGTCTTTACTGGTAGCGAACAAGTGACACTGGCAGGGAAGTCCACACACCAGTGCACTTCCACAAGAGACAAGCAGGGATGACCGCACACTCGACCTTGCGCAGTGACAAGCATGGATGACCGCACACTTGACACTAATACGTTCTAGCTTAGAGACACTGGCAGGGATGTCCGCACACCAATGCTCTACCACAAGACGCAGGCAGGGATGTCCGCACACCTGATCTTGCGCAGCAACAAGCAGGGATGTCCGCACACTTGCTACTAAGAGATGCCAATCACAGAGCAGGGATGACCACACACTCTGTCAAGTAATAAGCAGGGATGACCACACACTTACTACTTAAAACAGTACAATTTAAGCAGGGAAGTCCGCACGCTGATTTGTACACACACAGGTTTGTCTAGTGTTACCTCTAGAACCGACCTCGCAACGCTCGCCAGTAAAAATCCTATATATCCTAACACCATCTAAAATACTTAGTGATTATTTATTTACAAAGTAATTAAAACACAAATCAAGCTTCCAATCAACCAATCTTTAGTTATCCAACTAGTGTAACATACAAAGATTATTATTGATAACTTTAATTCAAATTCAACACTAATTAAGTATTTATTTAAGCACATATATAATTAGTTATTAAAATGACAAGGGCGATAACTTTCGCTATAATGAAAATATAGAAAACGATTTTCCGTTTCACCTTGATGAATGGCGAATTACTAATAGGATTAAACTGTTCAGAGTTCAACAAGTCTTTTAACTCCATAATATTATTAACTCTGCACCCATGTATACATTATATAAAGTAGTTTTTACCTTGTGATTGCTGTTGAATTATTTGAATTAAGGATGTGGATGGATCAGCTGGGTCAATCTGGCCATTCTGTGATGTTTTATATTTTTCAAGTTCGTTTTCCATATTATTCAATTTTTTCTCCAGATCAACAAAAGCCTTCTCATTACTACGAAGTCTCCTCTCTGTTATGACACATATATATAATTATTAAATTTACAACCCAGCTTACAGACACATACCGTATCTATAAAATGAGCATCATTTAACTGATCAAGTCGCATATAATATCAATCATAAACACTGGAATCCATCAATTTCTGTCTTTACATATTTTATTTTTCTTGTACATGTTATCCTTACCATTAGATTTAAGAAACGATGATCTGAGAAAATTACCAATTTACCTTCATTTATACCATGTATACATGTTTATACATGTATGTTTCTTTTAGTTGTATTCTCTTCCCGAAAAAAAGTTATAACTTTAAGCAGATAGGAATATTATATGTACCTTGATCTAACATAACTTTATGCTGTTCTTTCTGCTTCTCTTCCAGTGTTTGTATCTCCATTTTGTTCGTCTGCAAATAATTGGTGATCTTCTGGCACTCTCCCAAGGCAACTTTCTCCGTTTTTGTTAGTTTCGATTCTAACGCTGTTATATTTCCTTGTAAAGTTTCATTCACCCATTTCTCATGATTAAGCACATTTAATTTCAAAGCAAGAATTTGACTACCATTTGTCTCCGACTTTTGGTCCTCTTGCAAACTGTCCTTGAAAAAGTCTATAAGAGTGTTGAGAAAACAGCTAATAACCACGGACGCCACGATGCTGAAAACAGAAAGTGAGAAAACACGCAATTTTACAAGGAACACACGTACACACCTACCTCACACCAAAAATGAAACATGCATATGTCACATAATTTACTCTACCGATTTTTTTTTACGTGGAATGCCTGCATTTAAGCAAATTAGTTTACTTACGAGCTGGTCTGCATATTTCCGATCTACCTCATACCAATCATCATTACATGTACAGGAAACGAAAGTACGCTAAGAGTGCATCAAGTAAATATGCAAGATAATTGTCAGATATGATTTGCCTTCCCGTTATCTGTTTGTTTTCTTGATATCCGGTTTCAAGTCTTCAGTGACACACCTGATATAAAATCCAATCAAAGTAAAAGACCTATAGACACGTGCTTCTTTCCTTACATGTTACAGTGTACATGTATTTGAAATCAAATGGTTGTGCAGAGATATAGACACTCCGAGGTATCTCCTTTAAGTTAATTTTCATAAAAGAGTAGACGGAAAATATGGCATAAGAAATTTTTCTATTCTATAAATATTAATATACATTCAAAAATGAACTTTTATTTTATCAACAACGGAGACATCTGCATAGAAAAGATAATATACTATATAAGATCAAAAGCAAATCTTTACTTCAATATATGGTTGTTTTTTTTTTTTTTTTTTTTTTTTTTTTTTTTTGCTTTGATTGATATTCAGTGCATTAAATAAAAAATAAGTCCCCCAAGAGCAAAGTTAGGGTTGTTCTAAAATCTGAAAGACAACTTTAATTTTCTTAATGCATGTAAGTTACATGAAGTTCTAACCCCTAATGGCAATAATGATACTTAAAAGATTGTCATAGTTAGTTTTAAATTCTCTGAATTTTAAAACTTTAATTTATCAATAATTCAGACAAATTGTCCGAAAATGTTCAAAGCACATGATTATGCATTGGATATTAATATTTATGTTGACGTTAACGATATTTTTTACAGAAAGATCAGCATATCGGAATTGCTTTCGAGAATTTTCATTTTCAAAAAATCTTTGACAAAAAAGATTGTAATTTAAGTGACATTTGTTTTCAATTCTTTGAGAGTAATTTTAGAGCCAAATTACAAAATCCTATTTTTTGAAAAAGAGAATTCTAATGTAGAAGCTGGTTGCCAATGGTATTAAATGGGGAGTATTTTTGCTGCAACGGTTCCATTCCCTTACGCTGACCAGAGGCCTAGGTGGTTTCTGAGGCATTCTCTGTCATCACAACAGTAAACTTCTTCATGTTTGACCGACGATTGAATCAAAAGGCATTCACTCCTCTGTAATGAAATTATTTCATTGGTTTCAAGTGCGATTGCTGTTAATGTTGTTTTTCCGTTTAATTTCCGTTTCTTCAAATTCGTAGATTTTTTTTTACTAATATGACAAACTCATGAAGTCAACAATGAAATTATTTTCAACACTATAGAAAGAAACTTACCGATGTGCAGCGAGTTTTAAAATGGTACAAGTTGCCAGTAAAACCCCGTGCCATGCAAGTTTCCCCTGTGCCACACGTCTGATTCCATTCACAGGTATTGTTTATATCGTACGTTGGACACGGTGCTCCTAAACATAATTAGTACTAGAAAAGTTAAATGCAATAAGATATCGTAACAGCATTTTTCATTGTCAGAATGTATCATAAAACTTTTTTAGTCTTAGTTCATTTTACTCCTGGACATCAAGCAGTCAGACTGTTGGTATGATTCTAATCAGCATTAAATCGTCTACCAGAATTGTGAAATTCTTGACCCCAGGGTAAGGGGTTATAGAGCTAGGACGGGGCTAAATAGATTATATAGTGAAAATGTATTATCTCTTTTAAATACTTCTTTTCAGCTCCTTGGCATTAAATTAACTAATTAAGTGAATACTTAAGTTGAATATGTCTGCCTCTTCCAAAATTATAAATTTCACGGCCCAGGGTTAGGGGTTCTAGTGCTAGGGCGGCGCTTAATAGATTATATAATGAAAATGAGTTCTTGTTTATGCTCCTGGGCATTAAATAAACTATTTAAGTACATAGTTATGTTGAATAAGGCTACCTCTTCGAAAATTGTGAAATTTATGGCCCCAGGGTCAGAGGTTCTGGTATTAGGGTGGGGCTCTATTGATTATATAGTGAAAAAGCAAACATTCTTTGAAGTTCTTCTTTTCTGCTTCTGGGCATTGAATGAATTAACCAAGTGCATTGTTATGTTGAGCAAGGCTGCTTCTTCAAAAATTGTGATTTTTATGGCCCTGGGTCAGGGGTTCTAGTGCTAGGGTGGGGATGTATAGATTATATAGTGAAATAATTTTTTTTTTTTTTGAATCATCTCTGCTCCCGAGTATTGAATAAACAAACCAAGTACATAGTTGTGTTGATTAAGGCTGCCTCTTCCAAAAATGTGAATTTCATGCACCCTGGGTTGGGGGTTCTGGTGTTAGGGTGGAGCTCTATTCATTATATAGTGAAAATGCATACATTCTTTAAAAATCTTCTCTTCTGCACCTGGGTATTAAACCAATGAACTATTTACAGAGTTATGAGGAGGAAGGATGCCTCTTTGAGATTTGTGAATTTCGGGGCTCGTGGGTCAGGACTTCTTTAGTTAGGGCGGGGCTCTTATGTTTATATAGTGAAAATGCATCAATTCTTTAAAAATATATTCTTTTGCTCCTGGGTATTATGCAAATAATCTTATTATTACATATATAAGAGGAAGAAAGCTGTTTCTTCCATCATGGTTAATTTCCGGGCCCCTGGGACAGAGGGGGGTGTACATTGTCTTAAAACAATTTAATGCTTTGAAATCTGCACTTTGGTATTAATCAACAGCATGATGAAATAAAATTTACAAAATTTTGAAAGATACGGCCCGGGGTTAGTGGTTCCTGTGGGATGGACTGCACAACTGATAAAGTGGAAATGCATTTTCTCTTTGTTACTCTGATCTACCTCTGGGTATTAAATAACCGACGGATGCATGCTAAGTGTATAGTTATGATATATATATAAGCCATGTTGCCTCTTTCAAAATTGTGAATTTCATGGCCTTTTGTTTAAAACAAGAATCAAATTCAATTGTTGAAAAGTTGTAACATGATACTCTGATGACCTATAAGGCCCATGGGCCTCTGGTTAAAAAGGTCTGTATTATAAAACAGTTACTTGCAATTAAAAGACGAATCCATTCCATAGGCGTCGGAACCAGGGGGGCTAGGGGGGGCTACCCCCCCCCCCTTTTTTTTCCAAATATAGACTTAGTATAGACATTGAACATATCCTCGTAAGTTTAGCCCCCCCCCCCACTTTCCACAGATACGACTTAGTATAGGTTAAAACTGGTAAAAGTGTTGGTATTTGGAAGAAAATTTTTGGTACTGGAGTTCGAACCCCCCCCCCCCTCCCCCACGAAATAGGATTTTCGTGTTTGGGAAATAGACATTTGGGTTTTTTTTTTTTTTTTTTTTTGCTTGTCAGGTTTTTTCGGAGGTACAAAAATTTTTTTCTTACACTTAGCCCCCCCCACTTTCAAATTGCTTCCGACGCCAATGCATTCAACAATGCATTTAATTACTTAAGGAATCACTGTCTAGTTAGTAAAGTATGCCAGGGCATCAACGATAATGGAAAACATAGGATAATTTGCATAACGGGCGATTTAAATTACACGACGACTCCCAAACCAATTTCAATAGTCTTCGCCCACTGACGTAAAACATAAAAGCAGCCTCACGAGATTTACATGCATATTTGGCCTCTTTAGTATCAGACACAGAGACAGATGCGCACAAGTTTTACATTCATATTAGGTCTCCTTAGCTCCTGACCTATTGACCTGCCTAATTTACATTCCTGTAGATTTATCAAGATATTAACTCCTCTAATTTTCAAAGAGTTTTCACATAGAAAAAAAATTAGTGGAAATATTTTGAAATATGTAGGAGTCATTACCATAACTCTTCATCTGTTACCTGTAAAATTGAACGTTTTCCTCCAAGGGAAATTTAACAAAGAAATATTGATTCCTACAAGCTACAACAAGATGTGTTTGTGAAACACTGATGCCCCCGTATGGCAACATATAGCGAAGGTTAAGCTTTCTCAAATGCAGATCAAATATGTTGGTACCAAAGTAAGGCCTTTTTTACTAGAAATGCGAAATATAAAACGCTAGGTACACCTGTTCCAGGGTTATGACCAAGGTTAACATTTTATAATATAGGACAAACTCCGTTTCAAGGTCAAAGGGTCAAGGTTGTTGGGTTTTAAAGAAAGGCTTTGTCTCAAATATAACGTATGGGAAGTATGAACGCGCTGGCCCTTACTGTTCAAAAGTTATGGTGAAGGTTAAAGTTTGTGAAAAGTAGGTCAAAGGATCAAGATTCTTGATATCCAATGAAAGGTCTTGTCACAAGGATTACACATGTGAAATATGAAAGCTCTAGCCCTTACTGATTAAAAGTTATGGTCAAGGTCAAAGTTTGTAAAAGGTAAGTCAAACTCCAAGGTCAAGGTCAAAGGGTCAAGATTCTTGATATCCAATGAAAGGTCTTGTCACAAGGATTACACATGTGAAATATGAAAACTCTAGCTCCTACTATTCAAAAGTTATGGTCAAGGTTAATGTTTGTAAAAAGTAAGTCAAACTCCAAGGTCAAGGTCAAAGGATCAAAGTTCTTGATATCAAATGAAAGGTCTTGCCAAAAGGATTAAATTTGCGAAGTATGAATGCCCTAGCCCGAACCCTTCAAAAATTGTGGTCAATTTTGTATTTTTAAAGTAGGTCAAACTCCAAGGTCAAGGCCAAAGGGTCAAGGTTCTTGGTATTCAATAAAAGATCTTTTTATCAGTATTATATATGTGAAGTATGAAAGCCGTAGTACTTATTGTTCAAAAGTTATAGCCAAGGTTAAAGTTTTTTCATAGGTACGGAAATCTCCAAGGTCAAGGTCAAAAGGTTAAGGATGTTGGTATCCAATGAAAGGTCTAACCACAAAAAATATATACGTGAAATATAAATGCCTTGGTGTCTATTGTTCAAAAGATATGGCCAAAGTAAAAGTTTAAATTTTTTGTGTTAAAGTGGGTCAAACTCCAAGGTCAATGTCAAAAGGTCAAATTTGGTGGTACCCAAAGGAAGGTCTTGTCACAAGGAATACACATATTATATATGAATATCATAGCTCCACTAAATCAAAAGTTATAGGCAAGGTTAATGTTTTTGCGGACAAACAGACAAACAGAGAGACAGACAGACGGACACGACAAAAACTATATGCCCCCGAAACTTTGTTTACGGGGGCATAAAAATACGAACATTAAAGCCGTTTAAATCTTTTTTTATATGATCATAAAACTGAACATAACATAGAAAATAAAATCGTATAGTATACTAGTGATTACTTCTCAGACACTTTCTTTTCATGGTCAGTTTGAGAGAAAATATATAATTAAAAGCGTTTGCCAATACACTGCAAATGTTTTTTTAATGACAAAACTTTTTCCAGAAAGAATCAGAATTGTAATATTGATATAAGAATATTACATGAACATGTACATTATAGCATACTGCGTAAAGCATATGTGTCATGTACAATGTACAACGCATGTGTTTTGATTCTATGATTTATTCATATTCAACCCTGTGCTTTTTAGATAAGACAGTGATGTAATCAAACAACTGATTGACCATGATTAAACAATATTAGATTTGTACTTTAGATATGTCACAATCTGTAACTAGGTGTTAGGATCATTTGTTTTTAATCTTAAAATGAAGAAATGTTATATCCGAGAAAGCTGTGTAAACATTTACGATCACTGCAACAATATATTTCGCCATTTCCTATCTTTTCCAAAGTACAGTTTTCCTTCTGTAAAAAAAATAAACATTTTCTTTTAACGAACAAAATATGTTTTCATAACTGTGTTATAATTGTGTGACTTTTATTCATAATTCCTTACGAACTTTATACTTTTTCATATGATTGATTTTAAAAACAATTTATAAACATCTAATGGTTAGTAAATATTGTGATTAATGTTTGGTTAATCTATTAGATTACCATTGAACAATGTGTTAAAAACTTTGATCCTGGATTCGGCAATATCATACAAACTTCCTCAGGAGAGCACGTTTGGTACCCAACACAAGTCAAATTCATATCGCAGGAAGGACACTGAAGGCCTATACGTGCAAGAAGAAATTAAGACATTACTTACAGAAATAAGTTCTTTAACCAACGGCTTTGATCTGATAGTCACACTACAAAAATGTAGTAACAGTGTGATGAATCATGGATCATGCGGTCTTCTAGATCTTGCACCCTCATGTTCTTATGTAAAATGTATTTTTTATTGATCTGAGTCTTAATAAGAGTGTACATTAATGTATGATGTGTTGACGTTTAATTTTAAAACACAATATAAATTACACGTGTCTTCAAGCAAAGTTTTAGAATAATTATCTTTCATTCATGCATACTCAAGACTATTGCCAAAAATACAGCTCAAATTTTAGGACCTTATTTATATTTTCAGTGTAATACATTCCGGATAAATACCTACCCTGAGATTGAGATGATGTAGGAGAGAGAGTTGGGTATTGTGTTGTTATTGGGACACTGCCTGTGACACCTGGGATGGTTGTTCTCTGCGTAGTCTTGGAAACTATGTAAAATTATATTTTTATTTGATGACTTCATACAGATCAAGCACAAATTTCATGTTGATTGACCTATTTTTACGAAATTATCTCGTAAAAATTAATGCTTTTTAATTTAATTTACTGTGTTTATAGTTAAGAAGCTTATTATTTAAAACTTTATCCAGGTCAAGACTGATTTTTATACTCATTGCCTCAAATTTCGAAAATTTATTGCATTGGCTAAATTGTATAGCCCATGTATTATGGGTTACGTTTGAACATTATCATGCCATTTCATCGTCTAGGTCCAAAAAAGTTCAACCATTTGCTGTTCATTAATACACTAAAATCTATAAAAGTAGGAAAGAAACATTAAAGGAATTGAAACTTACATGTAGGAGGAGAAACTGTGGCAGGTGGTACAGTTCTTAATACATATTCACAGTCTATGAAGATTTAAATTTGTAATTAGTTACTGGTCTTTTCAACAATGCACCTACACAAATAATGATGATATTTTTGTTACAATTATTTAATGATAATATATCAGTCATACATTTATCACACAGGTTACAAGTTTTAGGACAGAATTTGATGTCTTCACTGTCTGGGTTATACTGCAGATGTGTACACAATCCAAATGAAGACAAGGTGGCACATGGTGCTTTAGGGTCGTCTTCACACACAACCGATCTGTTTCCTGTAGGACAAAAAAGAGAAAAAAGATTTTAAAATGCTGATATTTTTCATTAGATTCTCCGTACAAGGATGATAAGATACTGATTAGCTGTAAAATTATGTACAATGTATTTCTATAAGAAAGCCTACAAAGCTTCTGTAGTGGTGTTGTGTACATTATTCCACTTACTACACTATTCGTTGCTACTACTCACCAGAACACATGATTGGAGCTGATATTGGAGAGGTAGTTGTGGTAGGCAATGTGGTAGTTGTACTGGTGCTTGTGGTTGTTGTGTCCGTGTGGTGATGGCCGTTGTTTGTAAGTGTATGTGTGTTATGGTGTCCGTGGTCGTGTATCGT